GATGATGGTTAATTTTTCCCAAATCAGTCATCTGGTGTTTTTTTCAAGCATTTTTTTTTTTAAATTTCTTTTTTGCATTTCTTAATCGTAATATTTCTGAGATGAAAGAAGAGCTTGCAGGTGTGCCACAAGAGTCAATACTGCTCTGCTGTTGTACACAATTTTTACTTCTGACAGCCCACAAATGAGGGGGGCCACGAAGACATCACCATATTATCAAGTCGTCCCTCTTCTACACAAACTTCACTATGTTACAAAATTGTTACAAAATTGTTACATATCAACAAAAGAGCAATCTTTGGAAAATAAAGTTTAACCACTCAGTCACAAGATATCACCTTTACAATGCGTCGTGAGGCTTGTCCTAGCATACAATAAACCAGTTCCTCTATCTAAAGTTAACTATTTACTTACATTGGATAGAGGATTAACTTGAAAAAGACACATACGATTAAAAAAACAGGCACTTAATAAATGAATTAAAATGCTTTATTACTTACTCAACCGACAATCAAAATTACTATTAAAATAAAAACTTTCAATATACACATTCCTACTGAAACCTATTTGAATGTACGGGTGACAAGCTTATTGATCAGCCAAATATTCAAAGATTACAAAATTTGAAATCCAAAATTTTAAGACTAATAGTTTCTGCTCCTTTTTGCATAAGCAAGAACACACTTTACACAGGTTTTCACATGACAACTTTTTTTCATCCATCAAAACATATTACAGACATTTTCTTAGTAAACTACAAAATCACACTAACACACAGATACAATTACTCCATTCCTCACAATTACCACTTAAGTGACTCAAAAGAATATGGATAACAGACCTCTTAAATGATTAATATCGTTTTATTAATCCAGAGAGGCTGCCAACAAGTTTCTCGCTAACACCTATAATGTCACAATTATAAATTTAAATCCAATCTGAAGGTTGTATATAAATACAGTTGTAGATAAAAAAATAAATGAAGTAAAAATAAAATTTCTTAATTTAATTTTTGTATCACTAGGAATTTTACTATTTTTTGTTTAAAATAGAACCTTCTATTTTAGAAAAACTGATGATCCATAGTTTTGTGTTTAATATAAAATAGGAAGAGGACTATTTTGGAGTTTCACATGAGGCCCTTTTCCACAACCAGACTTCTTCAGAAGAGTAATTTTTCAGGAAAGGCAAAGAACTGTCCCTGGCAATTTTGGAAATAAGGCCTCAAAAAAAGATACTGATTATTTATTTCAATATTGTGTTTAAATTTTCGTTTTTGGCAAGTGAACTGAAATCCAAATCCCATTTTAGGCTTTCGTTGTTTTCCTTTCATGTTCTTAGTTGTCTAATTTATTTTTAGTAATCAGAAATGTTTCAAATTTGCAATATTTTCAAATATGCATAATAAAATTTGAACCATTGTACCACGGAGGTATGATTCGGATATATGGTCACCATGTCTAGAATTTTTAGTAAAAATTATTTTTGTAATTTTATCCGAGTTTGAAGTTTAATTTCATTTTTTAATATATACTTTAATTTATAATTCCTTTCATACAGAAAACTACTACAAATAACAAAAGTTCAAAACAACATGTTTACCTTTCTGTCGGGTTGTCAGTTAAGTGAGTGTGTAAAAAAGTGACAAATCACAAATAAAATGAAAAATACTGCAATGATAGATACATTCTAATATAGTAAAATGTGAGTTAAAAAACAAAATTATAACATTAAGTGAATTTAAACAAAATTTAATATTTCTTAGTGACAGAGAAATAAATCATATCTTTATTTATTTTTTCTTTTGTTTTAGTTAATTTTTTCTCTTTCTTTGAAAAGTTATCACCAATTGAATTGTTGAATCAATTGATACCAGTATTGCCAAGCAACACAGAGAAGCAAGCAAGGGGTTTAGTTTTTTTATCATTCAGGTTTTGGATAAATGAAAAGTGAGGCAGAAAAAATACATCTATGTAGATGCGAAGACGATATTAAAACGAAAAATATCTTCTTTTACCCTTCAATTGCACAAAGATTCCAGTTCATTTGAATTATATTTCCAGCAATATATTTGGTAGGATTGGGGATGCGGTCCAATGAATGTTCTGGTGTTGAAACTACGCCAAGCTTTCAGTGTTTTATTTCACCTTCCTCAGGGCTTCTTTGTCAGAGTTTATAGTTGTTTTCTCTTATCAACACATATATTTTTTCTCTCTTTTTGTCATTTCTCATACTAAATACAATGTTTTTAATACCAAATAAATAAATGGCACTTATTTATTTGTTAAAAACATAGTATTAAGTATAAGAAATGACAAAGAGAGAAAAAATATCTATACACGATAAGAGAAAAATATTTTAAACACTGACAGAGAATCTGAGTAAAAACAGTAAGTTGTAAAAACAAGTTGATTTTTGATTTTCACTTACACAAATGAGCAGCTATAAAATATTATATGTATATATATCCGTTATAGAGCCCTGAGGAAAGTGAAATAAAACACTGAAAGCTTGGCGTAGTTTCAAGATCAGAACATTTATTAGACCACATCCTCGATCCTACCAAATATATTGTTGAATAACAGCTGGTCAATCACCTTAGATTAGATCATTAGATTTCCAAGGTACAAAGTACTTTTTGCTCAACACAGGTTTCCCTGCTTACCTACAGGATTAAGGAAAGAAAAGGGTTTGGACCAAAATCCTTATAAAGTAGGAAACAGATGCGCAATTTCATTTTTATTATTTATACATATACTTTTTTAAACGAGGTTATATGAACCGTCAGGGTGCAGATGTTTTTGAAAAAAAGCCCATTTGTATGTCAAATTAGAATGAGCACCGCTGGATTCGAACCAAGGACCTTTACCTTAACCGTTGTGGCCACTGATCCCACTGGACAATTTAAAGTTAAGTCAAATTAGTAAATAGTGATGAACCTGCAGTTTGTTTGGCACTATCATCCTGGCGTGTTATACCACCACCAAGCTGCGCTTTTAAAATAAATTTATAGAGGTATCAAAGAAAAAACCCAACATAGTTTATGATGTTATAATCTAGTAATTGTATTTACAGTACCACTGAAAAAGAAACAATACCAAAAATGCTTGAAAAAATTATCGGCCAACATTTCCCCATCTGTTGTTGAGAATTGTAAAAAACAGAATTGTACATAAAAGATACTATGGTTGCTATGTTAATAAAGAGATGACTGTTCATTTTCCTCTGCTCCAGCTTTCTAACTCAGCCATCTGAGCTGGAAAGTGAAAAAAAAAAGCATATAATAAAACACAACTATATAAGTATAGATAGGGAATTTATTTAGTGTAATTTACCAGCTGTGTTTCGGGCCTTTTCTTGAGCGAGTAGGGCATCCCTTTCGGCTTTTTCTTTCATTTTGATATCTTTCATTGCGAGCTCTTTCTTGGTATACCGACTCTGCCAAAAGCTACCGTATGCTACACCGGTTAGAAGCAGGCTCCATCTTCCGAACTGGAAAAAAAAACTTTTAGTACTTTGCTGTTTTCCCCTTATGGATAATTTAACAGAATTTACTTGCAAAATTCATTATACAAGAAATTATAAGCCCATTTTTAAAAATGAATTTTTCAGCTTATTACTACTTGCTATTTCATATAGAAAAAAAAATCAAGGAGCAATTTACAAAAAAAACTCTTGACAGCATACGTATGTATAATTAATAGTTTGTATAGAATACTTATATTAAAAAATGTAAGAATTATTATTGTTACTTGTGGCGATTTAATAACCTTGGGTTGAAAAATTGAAAACTAGGTTAATCTAATAATAGAAAGTATATTTAATATATGAAAAGCATACCTTAATAAGCGGGGAAACGCTAACAGGCGGTGGTAAACTACTCATCTTTTTATGTGATTTTCAATTTTCTTACTGTATGCTAAATTGGGTAAGAATCAGATGGAGTTCCACCGAAAGGGTGATAGCAGAGTAGCCTCCGTGAAAAATATTAACTCAGTATTATCGATCGGCTGTGTGAGAACCGAAACGATATCGATTAAGACATAAATTATGTTACATTTATGTTTTAAAATCTAAAAAAACACTCAGATGATGTCTTTAATTGAAAATAATTAGTTGAGAAAGTATTTATTCTTAAATCCGAATAAATTTACTTGTCCATTGGTTAACCTTTAGTTCAGGATTGTTAGGACGATAGGTATCGATTTAATAATTCAATTAGTCTGTGTATTTCTCTTCTTTTAGGACTTTCTGGGTGTCATATTTTTGGTCATATTTATTTGTTTTAGAGGTTCATGTATTTATCTTAGAAATAAATTTAGTTTAATAGTTATAGTTAGCAGTAATAGCATTAATTCGTTGAAGTAGTGAGGAGCGGTCAATAATGAGGTAGTTTAGAAAACACCTTTTTCATTTTTCTGCCGACGTTTCGACCTTTATTCGGGTCATCTTCAGAGCCTGCGTAAATTACAAAACATACGATGATTGAAAAAAGAAATGCAATTTGAGATGTAAGTATATAAATAAAATATTTCATATATATGTATACATATTTATATTTACATCTTAAATAAATTAAAAAAAGAATTACAATTTAAGAAGTAAATATAAATTTTGAACCAAAATATTATATATATATGCATACATATTTATATTTACATCTTAAATTTAAAAAAAAATTACAATTTAAGATGTAAATATAAATTTTGAACCAAATTATTTCATATATATTTATACATATTTATATTATATGTTAAATTTTTTTTTCAATCATCGTATGTTTTGTAACTTACCCAGGCCCTGAAGATGACCCGAATAAAGGTCGAAACGTTGGCAAAAAATGAAAAAGGTGTTTTTCTAAATTATCTCATCCTTGACCGCTCCTCACGGCTTCAACAAGTTATGAAACAACAGGTCATTAAGAAATACAAATAGCAATAATAATAAAACTGACGGATAGCAATGTGACTACATTTTCGACCTAACATCTAACATTGGCCCTGGCCTGTTAGATCGAGCAATGCCGATTCTTACAAGTCTACGTCATCATCTACCACGACCTAACACAGTTAACAGGGTTAACACAAAAATCGTGAATACCCCTATTGTTACATTTCTATGTTTAAACATTTTTGTAAATTGGATTTATTCCGTAAAATATAAGTTATATCATAAAAATATACATGACTGACCTGTCGAAAACCCCAGTTGTTACGATCTCCTTGACATCTGCCTTAAGGTAGATACTAGCGTGCCGGCATCATAACAGGGTAGGTGATCTCCTCTGAGGTATAGACCCTAGGGTCAGTATATAATTTAAAAACTCAGATGCCATGGGCCTGAAATAAGAGAGGGAGGAAGCGGAACAAATTTACAAAGCAATTCTGAAGGAAAAGATTAAAGTTTTAGAGGAGTGTTGAAGGCTTGGGATATGATTAGTGTGTTTGGATAAGGAATGTGGAAAAAATTGATATATATATTTAGGACATTTATTTGACCTAATCTAAAAAATGTATATTAAAACTCAAAGTTTATAATCGCTTAGAATGTTAAGGCTCCTGAAGACGTTAACATAAGAAAAAATACGATCTCTTGATTTAAGATCATAATAGTATCTAATGAAGGAATGATTAGCAGTTTGAAGGGGATGAGCAGATTGAGAGTTTAAAGAAAGTGAAAAATTGTTCTACAGGAAAATGATAAAGAAATTATTATGGATTTAATAAGAAGAACTAGTTTTCTGGGGAGAGAAAAAGCTAAGGCATCGAAGAGAATGTAGGCTTGAGTAGATCTGGCTAATAATAAGAGCTCACATGGTCATGAAAGCTTGGAGTTAAAAATATCGCAGAGGTTTTTAACTTTAGGATAAAATTAATGGGGGACTTGTTATGATATGACGAGGGAATATACACTCTGTATTAGTGAGTTTATTGGAAACTAACAAAGACTGGGATTTATTAGGATATAAAAGGATGCCGTTATTATCTGACCATTCATTGAGAGATTGAAGATCACGGTTGAGCAGAGGGCTTCAAAGATGTTGCATTTAGAAAGTGACTTTAAAGCTGAGTGTCATTAGCAAATAGACGAAAATGGGAGAAATTTAGGACTAATGGATGACCATTTAGGATTACCTGGAAAAGAGCAAAGGACCAAGAATTGATCTTTGGGGTACAGCAGCTGAAATTGAGAGAAAAGAGGAGATAGAATTTGAAACTTTAACGCTTTGAGTTCTGTCAGATAGATGGAAGGAAATAAGATTAGCAGCAGAAGGTAAACAAGACAGATGTATCAGTTTCCGAATACGCAAGTTCATGTCTCTATCTAGTGGTAAAGTCCAGGAATATTGAATTTAATGCATGCATTATTACGCACATAAAATAATTTTAAAATTTGCTTTATGGTCGGATAACAGAAAATACACAAATTCCAGCTGTTTTGGTGTACAGAAGTCAGTGAATTTCCTCTATAGTGTATGTCTTCTTTTAGGACAGACCCACCACTGAAGGTGGCGAGAAGATGAAACGCGTCTGACAGACCAAAGTAAAATATGGCAAAACAACCAAACTACAGATTTACCCCAAGATAAAAATCCCACGATAAAAACTTTACGGTTCATGTAATTAAATAATAAACAATGAAAAGTTGCCATTTATTAATACTGTGATTGTATAAATTAAAAATAATTGATTACGTAAACACTTTCTTAAATTCAAATATTTAATCGCAGTTTTAACCTTCAAGCTACTACGTTATTATCGATATAATAATTTCTTGGTCCTTATATGTAAGTCCGAGGAAGTCTTTTTTGATGATTATAGTTATGTAAAAAATGTTTTACTCGTCATCATCATTATTATGCATAATCCAACGTGTTCATCATGAAAACTTATGGATATTTTTTTCTGCAAAATATAAATAATTAAAAATTGAGTTTTAATTAACTGAACCTGTTGATGAGTTATGTTGAACTAATATTACACTAATACAATAATTATTTAGGCTATTATGCGGTCAGAGATGAGGGCAAAGCCTTGGCCGTTTTTTAATATAAAATTATAATAGTGAAGGTCATTTATTAATTATATAGGAGATAATTATGCGGTTATAAGTCCGGTGAATAAATTAAAAGATGAATTATTTACTTTTTTAAATTTAGAATAGTTATGATTCATTTCTGGCTCCGCCCATTTTGGTTGTTTTCAGTTTTGCTGGAACAACATGTAGGATGAAGGTGTTTCGCCGCATCTGCATCAAAAGGACCAACCAATTAGAGATTGTTGAAAAAATGACATTTGTAATTAAATAACATCCTTCAATCGAAGTATTGGTTATTTAAAAAACTACGATTTACAAAAATAAAATTTAACAATCAAACAATAAAAAAGTTATAATTTGGTAGTTTCCGATCATTTTGGTCTACCTACCATTTGAAAGTTTTGGTTGCAGAGTTGCTGAGATGAGTCATGTAGGTTAATCTGTTTGATAATTGCAAAATATGTGATAATGTTTCTACTCGTCATCACTATTCTGCATTGTCCCACTATTCGAATGAACGATACATCCAGAAAATTATTATTACAAGAAAATATGGAGTCTATTGTGATGTTAAAGGTGCCTGTGAATAAATAAAACAGACATTTTTATTTGATTTATGAGAGCTGGATTTTAAATTTATATTTTCTTTAAAACTGAAATGTGTATCTTTTTGTTTGGCCATTCAAATGGCAATAGTTTTAATTAAGTAAAGAATCAGGTCATTGCAGTTACACAAAAAAAGGCATTAAACTGAAATATTTGAGGTGTCAAAGGCTCCGGGGAATTATGCTCTCTACTGTGCCATTATCTTTTGAAAATATGAAGGAAAACCTTCAAAACTGGGAAACTATTTTTTGGATAAAAATATAACATTACGAAATTTAAAGATTTCATGAATCATAAAATGGTAACACAAAAAAGTACATCAAACCTAATAGAAAATAATGTAATTTAATATCATCATATAATTATGATTTACAAATAAAATAAAATTATGATTTACAAATAAAATAAAATAATTTTACAAATAAAATAAAATAATTTTACAAATAAAATAAAAAATTAACAAAAAATAAAATAAAATAATTTTACAAATAAAATAAAATAATTTTTCAAATAAAATAAAATAATTTTACAAATAAAATAAAATAATTTTACAAATAAAATAAAATAATTTTACAAATAAAATAAAATTATTTTACAAATAAAATAAAAGTAGTAATTAAAAAAACTTCATCAATTTCGTTTATCTTTGTCTACTGTTTGTTTCATCATTGGGTTGAACCCATTAGATTTCGTGGTCCGATTGACCAAATGACCTTTTTTCAATTAATTAATCTTTGTGTAAGGTATTGGTTTGAAAAAATGGCAAAAAGGTTGGAAAATTCAAAAGGTTGGTTCAGATGGAGAGTTGGTGTCCGAGTGGATCAAAGTCACGATGGCGCAAGTGGTAGAGCAGCGGCGTATTTAGCCGAAGGTCGTGGGTTCGAATACCGCTCGTGACACTGACTTTTTCATCTCAACCAATACCTTACATAAAGATTAATTAATTGAAATTGGGTTGAATGTTAAATCGCCAGGTCAAAAATTAATCCAAGAAATCTACCCGTCTTACAATTAACTTCACTATTTTTCGTGGTCCGCTTGACCAATTAACATCACTTAAAGATTCAAAAGCTCATTAATAGAGCTAAAGTTAATTATCATGAGTTTTTCTTTCCCTTCAGTAAACTTTAAGATTTAAGTAAACTGGTATACTTGAGAAATGATATAGGAGGCTGGAGGTTAATCGTTGGACATCCAAGCAAGTAATGGATTAAAACTTAAATAATTTGTGAAGCATTAAGCCAAAACATACAAAGCAACAAAAAGATAAAAGATAAGAAACAGGCACATCCATTGTGAGATTTGTTGATGTCTGTGAGCTGGGAACTTGTAGTTCGGTCGTTTCTAATCACCCTGTACCTATCCTCGCTGCTTTGGACAATTTTAACTTCATTCACACACCCCTATTAAAATTTGTAAAAACGTTTTGCTACATTTTTTAAAAACTTCACGAACGCCATTTTACTCAGGCTAGGAAAACATGGGATTGTGCAATGCTTACACGACCTTCTAGGTTTAGCGCACGAAATGGGGCAATACTATCTGTTGGGCGTAGATTATAACAGTAAACATCCGCGATGGGGTTCGAATGTTCACAATCCACGAGGATTATCTCGTTAAACTCCGTGGTTCTTGATACTTTCAGGCCAATTGAACCCATTTCAAGAATATGTGCTCCATATATTTTTGGTGCGATGTTTCTTAGTACTGAAATTAGTAGCTAAAATGGAAAGGCTTAATTGGAATGTGTACACCAAAACCTTGAAAAACCTGACAAATCAGCAAATAACTCTAAAAATACCCAAGGATAGTCAGTGTATATCCAATAGGAACTTCCAACTGGCAGCTAATGTGCAAAATGACAAAATTAACATCCATCCTCTATTTTTTTCTTTAATGGTACAATATTAAATCAATAAAAGCTAATTCTAATCCCATAGACGGTGGAACTGACAAGATATGCAATGAAGCAAGAAATGACCTCAAACTTTAATAGACCATAGCGAGATACTTGATCTTCAGGACTTGCTACGAAAAATCAAGAAAAACAAAGAATCATGTTTTATCGGACGATGTTGATAAATCAGTCAAAATCATTAGATATGATTTTATGCAAGTCAACAATGCCATCACGAAGCTGAAAACTAGCTATAGTAATTGTCTCTGATACAATAATATCAGCTTTCAATAATGTATTTTTAGGTTCTAAAGTAAGGAGTAGGCCAACATGAAAGAAAATGCACAATTTTTTCGTCAATTGTACCAATCCCAGTCATACCTTTATAACAATTGCTTCTTCCTTTGGGTGTTCTCCATGGGCGCGTTCTGGGCCCACTGGTGAACTTACTTTACGTTCAAAGCATTCCGTAGGTACCGTTCAGGCAATCATCAGGAATGAATGGCGTTAAAGTCTTGTTTATTCAACGAAGATCTAAAGAGAATCCGCGTAACACGTTTGAGTAGTCCAACTACTCACGAGTAAAGACGGACCCAATAAGTGACCCGGTGCCGGTTCATAGTAATTTCACCGATTCGGAGACTAATCAAGATCAACTCAAGTTAGATTTACCCTTCAACGAAAAATATACTTCATAGGAAGCATTATATAACAAACTGATTTATGCACGCTATCAAACCAAACTTTTAGTTATCAATCCATGTTAATAAGAAAAAAGATATACCCTTAAAAACTCGACTGTTCGTTCAAACAAGATGGATTAAGAACATTCTGAATCAAAGTATGGTCTTGTAGAAGAAAGCAAATTCAGTTGTTACTGCCAAGCTTTCGACCTTTAAGGTCATCATCAGCGGAAAACAATCTTAAATAGGTCTACACATTGAAATATTTAAGGTTTTTACAGATCTCAAATTTCCTTGAAGACAGACTCAGTACCAACATTGCCAAGGTCTGTAACCTCTTGCGGCAGACTTGGCCTTCAAGGAAATTTGAGATCGCCTGTTAAAAGTTTAAATATTTTTACTTGTAGACCTATTTAAGATTGTTTAGCCTTAATGATGACCTTAAAGTAGGTCGAAAGCTTGGCAGTAACAACTGAATTTGCTTTCTTCTTCAAGACCATACCTTTATCCAGATGTTCGTGACTGAAAAAGTGGTCGATATTTCTAATACTGAAAAGATGGATTAAAATCAATCGAAGGAAAGTATGTACTTGGAAAGCCGCTCTTACAGCTATAGGACTATCTAACTGTTGTAAAAAATACCATTCTTCACCAAAGGAATTTTTTATTCTAAAAGATCAATATTTACATGTTCTTATTCTTTTACGAGTAGAACAATTTTTAATACCATTGTGTGCACATAATGACAAAGATAACTTGCTATTTTATTTATAGACGGTAATTAATTTCGCTAGAAATTATCTTTTTAATTTATCTCTTAGAATCATTATTACTTATCAAAAGCAATATTAAAAAGGAGTCATGCATTTTTCAACAAATTGGCTTTTTAAGCAAATTTTCTCTCTCTTTTCTCTCTCCATCTCTCCCTCTCGCCTGGTTAACAAATGATGATTGAGCTCTGTATCAATATTCTTATCTTATCGAAGGAGAGTAAAACTGGCAGAGCCGTGTTAAATAGGGGAGGGAGAAGGCGGTCGAGGATTGTAAAAAGTGACAGTCGTCGGTCCAACTTTTCCCAGTCGCGATCTTCACAGAGGGATGACCATGGAGTTCGAAAACGGCTTTTTTTTCATCGCAACTCTTTCAGCTTTGGTCTTGATTGCCGGGGTTGCTGGAGAAAACGCGACCGAGGCAGATAATCAGCCCATGCCCACGGTTACTACTGCTAGGAACGTGGAAACCACGCCGCCGAATAATGCCAGCTCGGTTCTTGCCACAAGTGTTCATCACCTTTTGGATTTATTACCAATACCCGAGGGTGAGTTCGAAATGAGCTGTTCTTAACCCAATGGTGATATTTAATCTTTGTTATTAAATGAAGAACAGTTTACTTTTTTAATGCACAAGTTAAATACACAGTAAATCCAATACTTGATATGGTTAATCGATCCGTTAAAGACTAAGAAGGTATGAAGATAAAGCATATAAAAAAAATAAAAAAATAAACTGAACCGTGTGGAAGAGAATGGAGAAGAATATGTTTATGAGTTGTATCGAAATATTCATTCTAAATGTTAAAAATATCAGAAACGCATTAAAAACAGTTTCGGACGAATGATAGTTTGAAGGTAGAGACCGTGAGTACGGCGTATGATGAAGAAATAAGTGTGATAAATATGATGTGATAATAATAGAAGAAATGGAGAGGATAATAAATGAAAAAACAAAAGTGAAGGATTGAGTGTATATGAATTTCACTTCACGTTTTCATCACAAAAAAGATAATTGAAAAAACATGTAGAAAGGTAGATTTTTAAAATTTATTTTACAGACTGCCCTCTTTAAGATTGCAGGCTCTTACAATTATAAATATTTTAATATATTTTTACTTTTTTTTATATTTCTAGAAAGGTTATTCTTTAGGTAGGGTTAGTTCTTGACAAATGGTTTTGATTTAGGTTATTTATTTCACATATACGTTTCGCGCTATTTTTCCTTTTTTTCTGCCCATCTGCAGAAAAACCTTATAAAGTGTTGTAATTTAAAAATCGTATTGTACTATTTATAATTTTTTAATAATTGATTTTTTTATTTATTTTTTTGTAGGATTCCACTTCTATAGATTATTTTTAGGTTATTCTTTAGGCAGGGTTAGTCCTTGACAAGAGGTTTTGATTTAGGTTATTTATTTCAGATCTAAATTTCGGGTAGTTTTCCTTCTTTTCTGTCCATCTTCAGGAAAACCTTTACAAGAAGTACAGTCATATAGTTTACATTGTAAAATTATCAAACTTTCATTTATATTATTATTTTTATTTTATGGTTAAAAACATCAATATAAATTACCTATCTGTCTCGCCTGTCCCCCCTTTGCGTTTTTTTTATAAGGTAGCTCCATTTTATTCTCTGTAAAATGGGGCTACCATTATATTTTTCTATTCTATAAATATATTACCATATTTTTAAACTACAACATTTTATAAGGTTTTCCTGCAGATGGGCAGAAAAAAAGAAAAAATAGCGCGAAACGTATATGTGAAATAAATAACCTAAATCNAAAAAAAAAAAAAAAAAAAAAAAAAAAAATAAATAAATAAATAAATAAATAAAAATAAATAAATAAAAAATTATAAATAGTACAATACGATTTTTACAATTACAACACTTTATGATCTTTTTCACTTCACTCTGATCACGTAGGTGGCAATTATTATTACAATTTATCTATTTAATTTTTATTATTTTTCATAACTTTTACAAACAATTTAATTCACAAAAGTCTTTATTGTGCTCTTTAAATAATTCCTGATTTGTTGTAGACCGAGTTCCTCCTCGAGTGATTATTAATCTTATGAGCCGTGATCTCGAAGATTCATTCAGTTCGCAGTGCTGTATGACATGCTCCCAAGTTTGGGGTTCCGTTGTCCTGCAGTTGCATAATTCAATGTCCTCCAGTTTAAGCCTGTATAAATAATTCTTGTGTTTACCATGATTACTCAGTACTTAGGTCAGCTGCTGTCTTCGAAAAAGTGTTTTTGTCCATTTGCCTTCTCTTGTAGCACTCTATACAATATTCCTAAACATTCCTCATCTTCGGTACCTCGTCCCTAGGTCGGGATCGATTCATTTTCGACTCCAATGTGAAGAGATGGCTGATCCTGGGCTGCCTCTTTAGACAACCTATGTGCCTCTTCGTTTCCGTGAATACCCTGATAAGCCTTGACCGTTTGCCGTCCTTACAATTTAAAATTGTTAGGGATTTAGCGGCTAAGTACTCCTGAAGTCCTGTTTGCCTATTGAATTTCCCTTAGTTTAGCTCTTTCCAAGGTCAAACTTTTTAGAGGTGTTTACATTAACATCCTTTGTTACATCGAAGTACACACTAATAAATAGATAGTCAGGCATTTTTAAATTTTTATTTTCTTTATGGAGACATAAAAGGACTGATTGTATTCGGTCGCCATCTTGGTACTCTCAAAAAATTGTTTTCTGAAAAGATTTCCTGATTTTGTCCCATTATTATTTGTTTTGCATTTTCATTTGTGAATTCCCGGAATTTCATGTATTATTAATCTAGGGTTTAGCTTTGTGCCTACTTCTGCCTTCAAGGTTTTTCGGCAACTATTATTAAATTCGTTCATTACCGTGTCGTTATCGTTTTTTGAGCATACATGAACAAAAACTTCGATGTTTAGTTCTACCGAATTTATATTATTTTTGATGATATTCCGGGTTTCTTCTCATTTCGTTGGTGTTTTGAGTTTTATAACTGCAGCAAAAGTTTGAACTATACTTTCGCTAAACTAGAGGTTTTGTAGTACNGAATTTCCCTTAGTTTAGCTCTTTCCAAGGTCAAACTTTTTAGAGGTGTTTACATTAACATCCTTTGTTACATCGAAGTACACACTAATAAATAGATAGTCAGAGATTTCTACCACATCCTTGTCTGAGAATTGAGTTAGAATCGCAAATTGTTTTATTTAATTTAAATTGTTTTTTAGTACGACGATCGCTGTACGGTTTCTTCCCTGACCAGCCTGAAATATTTTCCAGCCTCTGTGAATACCGACTATGCTGGTATTTTGACAGTACGCTTCCTGTAATAATGCAATGTTTGCAATGTTTCACGTTCAGTCATATCATTTAGGCATGGGTCGCAGCCCTTGAATGTTGCAGATTACATCCATTAGATTTCGTGATTCGATTGACCAAATAACTTATTTCAAGTAATTAATCTTTATTTAAGGTATTGCTAGAAATAAAAAAGCCAGTGTCACGCGTGGGATTCGAACCCACGACCTACGGCTAAATACGCCGCTGCTCTACAACTTGAGCTATCGTGACTTCGATCCATCGGAACCTACTTCCCATCTCAACCTACCTTTCGCCTTCTTTTTGCCATTTTTCAAATGTCGTGTAATCAGGATTCGATTCTCGGCGACAAATGAAATGGCCACGGAGAGCTTTAGTGTAGATATACTTCATTTTACTTAATAAATCTATTAGATTTCGTGGTCCGATTGACCAAATAACTTCTTTCAATTAATTAAACGTTATGTAAGGTATTGGTTGAAATAAAAAAGTGGATCAAGTGGTAGAGGCGTATTTAGTCGAAGGTCGTGGGTTCGAATCGCGCTCGTGACTCTGGCTTTTTTATCTTACATAAAGGTTGCATATTGTGTTGAAGGCATCGTATAACTCTGCTTTTTATATTTGCACAATTTTCCCCGACCAGTATTATTCGTCAACAGCAGTGTAGATGTAGATGATTGGTCAGGGTGTATTTTGTACTGCGGCCTTGAAGAATTGTGTTCTGTGCTTATAGCACCCCGGTGAGTCCGAGGTCATCGTGGAATTTGATTATTAGGCCCGTTTTCAATGGTTGAATTTCTTGTTCGGTTACTTTGTACCTCCCAAAGAACTTCCTCCTGCGGGCAAGTGTAGCCCCACAGTTTTTTAAAAGGTGTGCTGGTGTCCCCTCTGCTTCTTTGCAGAATCTGCACGTGCCGTGTCGTGTCGTGCCAATCTTCTTTAAATGTCCATTTAGTTTGCAGTGACCTGTTAAGAATCCTGTTAAGTTTCGCAGTTTTTTCCCTCTTCTCTTGAAACGTTCTGATACTTCTTTCCTTCCGAAATTTTTTAGGATGTTCTTGGACTGTTTATGTCCAATGAGTGAGTTCCATTGATCCCTCATTTTCTTTTTATCCTTCTGTCTGAGGTACTTATTGATAGTATGGGTTCCTATGTCACATAAGAACAGCAGTGCGTTTACAATCTCGTTTTTCAATTGGTTTATTTCTTACTTTGCTGTTGAATGATGTTAACATTTCATACACTCGTTCCACTAGCGCATAACGGGACAAGTTGTTTCCTTACTCGTGCGATTTGCCTGAATGGTATCGAGAGCATTTGTTGCAACTGCGAACGAACAAATTGTCTGCCACACGACAGAGGGAGCACACGATTTTAATTATATTATTTAGCAGCAATTTACGAGAGCAGTATCAACTTCAATAATTAGTTTAATTAATTGTACTTTTAATCTTAACGTTTGGTTGAGATAAAAAAGCAATAATTAGATTTTTTCTTGTTACGCTTGTTTGTTAAGGCCTTTCCGGGTTTCTTCTCATTTCGTTGGTGTTTTGAGTTTTATAACTGCAGCAAAAGTTTGAACTATACTTTCGCTAAACTAGAGGTTTTGTAGTACTTTGCTGTAAGCGGACTTGGCCGGTGGATAGTTTGTGTTTGTTGGGTGAGAGGCAAGATTTTTTATTTTATTGTGTTGAACGTCTCGGTTAAATCACAAATCACTTCTTTTGCTCTCGACACTTTTCCTTTAAATGACACTACGTTTTGAATTATTTTTTAATTTTTATTTTCTTTATTGAGACATAAAAGGACTGATTGTATTCGGTCGCCATCTTGGTACTCTAAAAAAATATGAATTATTGATGAGTAGATAGAAAAAGATTGAGAGAGCAAGATTGAAATAAAGAGAGAACAGAGAGAGAGAGAGAGAGAGAGAGAGAGAGAGAGAGAGAGAGAGAGAGAGAGCCTGTTTGTGAAGTCGAGGAAGAAACTAAGAAAAGTAAAGATAAAGTTAGTTATAGAAAGAACGGGTGTGAGATATATATGGGCAGACAGATATTGTGGGAGAGAGAGAGAGAGAGAGAGAGAGAGAGAGAGAGAGAGAGAGAGAGAGAGAGAGAGAGAGAGAGAGAGAGAGAGAGAGCCTATTTGCCTATTTACATGAAGAAGCAACTAAGAGAAATAAAGATAGTACGTTAGTGGCATGAAAAGAGTTTTCATATATATTTTTGATATCACAGATAAAAAATTTAATTATTTTATATTTAATGAAAAGCCCAAATCGTTTATAAAGATGTTTTAAAATAAATTACAAGAACACACACTACATCATGCTGAGGTACTCATACTAATAGGGTATAATATTTGAATCCAACAAAATTAGCATTAATGAACGTTTGTCATTAAATCTTTCAAATTCCTCAGCAAGACTCGAATATCATACGTGATATTAATTTTTTTCAATATTTCAGTTCATTTTCAGGTCTTTTAAAGACCAATTAACGCTTTGCCAGTGGTGCTATTTTAGAATAGAAAACGGCCTCAACTCATAGCCCGGATTAGTCAGACTTCTCACCTGGTTAATTTTTCTCGTCGGGGCGTTCATTGTGATAAATTGTTACGCAAACACAAAACGGCTTACATAATGTTTATCACCTTCATTTGACTTTATTGTCTCTTTTTTTTCGGTTTCTCCTTGTCGCGGTTTATAACCAAGTGGCGCGAGTGTGGTCGACGACGTTCAAGAAGCGGATTAACGCCTGTAACCTTTAAAAAGAAAGTTTGTTTCTTGATTATTTGCTTGAACATGAGTGTTTTGTCTTACAAAAGTGGTAATTTCATTTTTAAGAGTTACAATGGGTAGATTTGAAAACTACAATCCAAATAAATCCACATGGCTATATTTTTATCACTCTTGCTTTATTCACTTAGATTTCAAAAAATATAAAAAAATCTACTTGTTTAAATAATTGAGATGCACAACATATCGAGGTTTGATTGAATTTACATTCAATTTTTTTTTCAAGCGAAAGATTATTTTACATTGTTGTTATCGTTTCTGAAGATTAGCGCTGTTCTAAACAATTGTTATGCAACATTATTGTTATTGAATGCATATCGAGTAAATGATACTATTTACTTATTTATTGTAGTTTATTATTTAAATAAATATTATTTAAATTTTTTATGTAGTTAGTTTTATGGACGTTTAAAAGAATTGAAGTGCTAAGAAAGAAAAAATAATTTTAGTTTATAATTCACTATTTTTCGTGGTCCGCTTGACCAATTAATATCATTCAATTAATTAAAGTTTTTAGTTGAGATAAAAAGTCACTGTCACAAGCAGGATTCGAACCCTCGACTTTTGGCTTAATACGCCGCTACTCTATCACTTGAGCTATCGTGACTTCAATCCACTCGGACACCAACTTCTTTGAAAAAACTTTGAAAAAGGGCAAAAAGGAGGGAAAATTCGAAAGGTGGGTTCAGATGGGAAGTTGGTGTCCGAGAGGATAGAAGTCACGATAGCTCAAGTGGTACAGTAGCGGCGTATCAAGCCGAAGGTCGTAGGTTCGAATCCCGCTCGTAACAGTGACTTTTTTTATCTCAACTAAAAACCTTAATTAATTGAATTAGTTTATAATCTATATCTATGGTACAAAACTTTGAAGTACGTTTTATTTATCCTGTAAAACAGTAATAATTTTTTAACTAAAAAATCAAATAAAACAGCAAGAATAGAATAATTGTTCGTCCAATGAGGTTAAACTAAACTAAATGAAGGAAATTAACAGTAGTTCGCCTTCCATTACTCTAATAGCAATGATGTTGATGAACTTGATTTGTTCGGTTATGTGAGCGACTTGTGACAAAAGATATTTATTTGTAATCAACAAGCTAATACTACAACACCCCGGGCGAATAAATATTATTGAGAAGCAAACGACTTCTTAATAGAAGTTACAAAATACGTAACAAATATGGTTTTGAGGGGAAAACTTACAAAAGGATTTATATTTATTTGGAGATCGTGACATGCGGTCTGGTATTTATATTCCAAAAATTATAAAAATCTTATGTGCAGGAAAAAGCAGTATAACGGAAAAACAAAGAAAATTTTTTGTAATGTTAGTATTGAGGCAGAGTTAGTAAACTCATTGGGAAGGACAAAAGCGGGCAGAATCTATTAGTATTAATTAACGGGAGTGTTATTATAGGTCAATTTTCAATTCCACAGTAATAATTAAAATATCTAGTTTTTTATCATCTTTTAACAACATAAATGATAATAATAATTACTATTTCTGCCTATCTGCTTTAAAAAAAAGCGAGTAAAATGAGAAACCCACTATCTTGAGCAATTATTATTATTACTTACTTTTTAATTATTTTATCAGCTTATGGCTAATGATATAAATACTCAATTAATTATACACAGTTTTTTTGAAATGAAAAATTTGTGTCACAGGCGGGATTCGAACCCACGACTTTCCGCTAAATATGCCGCTGCTCTACCACTTGAGCGAAGTGACTTCGATCGCCCATGCCACAAACTTCTCATTTCGACTCCCCGTTTTATACAATTGTATTGTAGTTGTATTGTGCATTGCTTACAATTGGAATAAAACGGGGAGCCGAGGTGAGAAGTTTATGGCATGGGCGATCGAAGTCACGGTAGCTCAAGTGGTAGAGCAGCGGCGTATTGAGCCGAAAGTCGTGGGTTCGAATCCCGCCTGTGATACAAATTTTTCATTTCGAAAAAATTGTATATAATCAATTGAGTAATTATTATTATATTATGTATGATTTAGAAAATTCATCATTTTTGTTACTGTGCTTTCATTTATTCTATTTTATTTTTATTTGTGTGTTAAAGCCTATAGATACATATTACCTATATTACAACTTCTATTGTGCAGATTATTTCTATAACAATAAATAATAATAAAAAATATAATATACATATGCCAATTAATTATTCTTTTCTTGACGAAAAAGTTCGTGTAACGAGCGGGAACGAACCCACGACCTTCGGCTCGTGATACTAACTTTTTCATCTCAACCAAGACTGGTTAATAATCTGTTAATAATCTGTTAATAATCTGCACAATAGAAGTTGTAATATAGGTAATATGTATCTATAGGCTTTAACACACAAATAAAAATAAAATAGAATAAATGAAAGCACAGTAACAAAAATGAATTAATTATTCATTATAAGAATAATTAATTGAAATAAGCAATTTGTTCAATTAGACCACTAAACATAAATGGATAATCTAAATATTTTATTATATCAACTCTTATTTTTTTAGATTTAGGTAAAAGTTGTACCAAAAAAGAAGACTGTAAGAATACCAATTCGCGCTGTTTCAACGGAACCTGCCAGTGCTTAGAAAACAACGTTCTCGCATCCAATGGAAAAGAATGCCTGGAAAGTAATAATTTAATATTGAGTGTTAGTAATTAGGATATCACCTAGGTTTTTAAAATAAATGTACGCGTTAAATTACCAGTGGTAACCGAGTTCGGCGAGAAGTGCAGCGAGGACGTGCAATGCTCTCCTCTGAAAGACACGTACGGCGAAGTCGTGTGCGTCAATCTATCCTGCAGATGCGACCCGGTCCGTACAAAACTGTACAAAGAGGCCTGTCTCGAGCAATCGCGTGAGTATTGGCAAAAGGGGTCGTACAATTTGTCGTTATTCCGTAAAAAAGTCCGTATTTTCAGATTTGGGAGGCAAGTGTATACAGCACGAGTCCTGCAGCGTGAAAAACTCCGAATGCGACCAAGAGGTCTGCGTCTGTTCTGACAACTACGTGCCAGATGCCGACGGCATGCGTTGTCTGCCAAGTAAAATATCACAACAATAAAAAATATCATTGAAGTTAATAATTTTCTATTTGAAGTATTGAAGGAAATGAATGCGACGTGCGAGATGGACGCTCAGTGCAACTCTTATTTGGGCGATGGAGCTCTGTGCTTGCAGAACAAATGCGCCTGCTTGAACTCATTTCACTTCAATGGCGACGTCTGCGTTGAGAACAAACGTAAATATGTATTTTTCTATATGATTAAAGAAAGAACGATAATGGTAAACAGAGCAAAAACTAGAGTTAATGCACTTGTTAGCCCAGGAGAAAAGAAGCCGATGTGATAACACGATAGTGCTAACGTTTTTTGAACAATGCTTATGTTTGTTTGAGTCTTAATTACAATTACCTTCGGCCTATAAAATTTTTATTTAATGCTTATCAGATTGTTTGGCGGCTATACTGCACCCCTTTTAAGTGAAAAAATTGTTTTTACGGGGGTTCGCAACACCAGAGATCATATCAACCGTCAGGGTGCAGGTGTTAAAAAAAAGAAGCCATGTAGGATTCGAACGCAGGGCCGTTGGATTCGAACCCAGGACCTTTACCTTTTAGTAATGAGCACCGTGTCAATGCCTAAACCGTTGCGGCCACCCTTTAAGGATTATTGTATTTCCTGTTCCGTACTTGATTATTTCAACCGGTTGTTGTACGGTGGAGAACTGTGGCGCCATAATCTGTTGATATGACGGAAGAAGAATACCAGATTGATGCCATTCTTTCTCTAATGCTCAGAAACTGAAAAGATTTCCTTTTGATGCATCCAGTACTTTCTTTCCTATCTAATCACGCAAGAGGTTCTTGGATTGTTCGCCTTCAGCAAGAGTTTCTCACTATTTCCTATTTCTCACCTTGCCTTCTCTTGAAAGATGTCCTCTAATAGTATGGATTCTATGTTTTTAGTTTCCCTCTACTCCTGCACGACCTTGAACCCAGTAGAAAGTGTCTCTCCAAACCTATAGACTTTAGTTTGATTTTGAATTTTGCAACCATCTTTGAACTGGCCATTTTGGAGTTAGTTGCTGGCTGCTTGGCTGTTGCTTAGACTTGAAAAATATCGTTTTATAAGCACAGGTCTCTAATATTTAATTCTGGGACTAAATACCCCTGTTCCTTATTACGACTTAAATCCATCGGTGTAGTAACAAACCGTGTAGTTTTGTGGTTATCTGCAAGCTTTTTAAATTCAATTATGTCACCACGTGGAGCCGTGAGTATAGGATATTTTTTCAAGTTCCAGTCCCTTTAGAGAATATATATTCACGTTACATAAAAACCTGTTCTGCTAACTGGTTTTCTTTATTTATTTAAGCTCTGGGTTCTGACTGCAAGAAAGACGTTGATTGTCTCATACCTGTTGATGTTGAACCTGGAAACAGAAGGACCTGCTTCAACGGCACCTGTTCCTGTCTTAAAAATTTCAAGGAGTTGAAAAAAGACAACATCTGCGATAGTAAGTTTTATCGTAAGTAATTGTTAACTATACTGGTTTTTGGTATAAAAAAAATTAAAAATAAACAAATAAAAATAAAATCTATTCAAATTGCTGAGAATTTCAATTTGAGGTAAGTAGATAAGTTGAAAGTTATATTAAATTTATTATATATTTAAAAATTATATTATAAAAAAAATGAAAGCGAACATAGTACATAGACTTTACAGCTTTGAGGGGGCTTGAAATTGAAGAGGTAAGAGTGAAAAAGAGACCATCACCCTTATACTTCGTATCTTATTGACCCACGTCTTTCTTATATTTTATATTTAATGGGATTATTAAATGATACGTTAAGTATATAATATTTTGTTCTTTTCCAGCCGTTCCAAGTTCAGCAGCCCGTTGGGATAATTTCTGGCTGACAACCCTGATTCTTTCTCTGGTCATCAACTTTCTCTATAAGATTCCTTCGAAGAACTGCGTTTGAACTAAAGGCGCTTTCTCAAAATTCACGAATTGACTACGAAAAAGTCTTAAGTTAAGAAAATATAGTTTAGATTTAAATTTACAATTTCAAAAAAAAAATATTGTTCCTTCAGGAGATTAAAACTGGAAATTTTATGTTATGTTGTACGGTTATAATTTTTAATATAATCTCATTTAGGTTTTTAAGTACATTATAGGCTTTATTTATAAAAACAAATAAAATTTTTAAAAAATATTGAATTTTTGTAGAATAGAACATGAATTGATGAAGTTGTGAAAGAATACAAACACCTCACAAAGGCAATAAAGCTCTAGACGTTATAGCTAAGCAAGCTTCCGAATATACAAGCCTTTAGCAGAGGCACTTTCCAGGCTTCCCCGGTCGTGCTTCAGGGCAATGCTGGAGATAGAAAATATGGAGGACTGGGAATCTTGTTCGACAAAAACCGGAAATGGAAATTACACAAAAACGTTCTTTCTAGGTGTAGCCAGCCAACGGACAAGCCCTTTGCCCAAGCAGTACTTCCACAATGCTGTGTACAAATAGAAAAATAGCGCTATTGTGTAGAATTTGGGAGCATATTTTGTTTCACTATTTTAACTTCGAAGCAAAGGTTGTACTCACTTCGTGCAAATTCTGCTAGTATTACCTGCCCTCTAGCCAGCCTATCAGCGCTGATAAAAAAAGACTTATGAAAAGAATTCATTCATTTCCTTAAAAACATCGATTTTCGAAAGTTGTAATCGGTTATAATAAGGCTTTGAAGAAGAAATTGAAGCAATGTACGTCTTTTTAGGCACAGTGAATTAGTGGCCCCCAATTACGCCAATTAAGCTGATCTCTATTCCATTTTATTTTATGTTAAATATCTAAAGTTTTATGTGAGATAACAAATGTTTGCATGTTGAGATAGCATAAAATTAAAAAAATTTCTATAAAAAATATATATGTATGTGAAATAACTAGAAATTGGTGGATATTTGGATTAAAAAAACGTTTAAATAATGCACGGCAAATTTTTAATTACTATTACTTATTAATTACCAATTACGTTTATAAAATTATTCAATATTGTACATTTTTCCAAATAAAGAGTGAGTTCTCAAGTTGTCGTTTATCAGATAAAAAGGTTCTACATTTACTGAAGTAAAAGGTAAACTTTTGAATTAGTGGATACAATTGAGCAATTTCGTGCAATAAAAATCGAATTCGTATAATTAAGCTTCAAAAGTTCAAAATGTGCAATTTTGTCATTCCATCCTTGTATCATGGATTTGACAGAAAGATAAATGGCACCGAAATCTGATGTATTAGAAATCCGAGAATACCGAAGTCCCTTCGGAACCATACCAAACGGTGCGAAGTGGCAAAAAAATTTTTTTCAATAGGGTTTTTCACATGGAAGACGAACAATATTTATAATGTCGACTCATAAAGAGATAAGAAAAGCAAACTGGTGATAAAACATTCATTCATTTGCGCACCTGGCACTCCCCTTAGCGTTCCTATTTTGTCATGACTTCAAAACTTTTTTTTATTTCGACCCTTTTCGCCTGCAGCTTTGTATCTTGCGGGAAGATCACGTTACCCCTGACCAAACTTTTAAGAAGTAAGTCTTCGGTTTTTAAGTTCGAATATTTTATTTAGTATTGATAATGGTGCAATGCAGGATCGAACCGTCCCTGTGATCTCGATGAAGACTGCACGACACCCAATTCCTACTGTTATGAAAGATCAATGTGCCTCTGCAGGGACACGTACATCGCAGTGAACCAAAACAAAACTTCGTTCATTTGTATTCCAGGTACAATTTAAAAAAAAAAGTTACCAGTTTGTTTTCATTAAATTTTGTTTTGCTTTAGCTGCTAAGCAAATCGGCGATCACTGCATTTATGACATTCAGTGCGAAAAGACTCTCGGCACTCTTTCGATCTGTTTGCCCAGATCGTCGGAAAGCGTCGGAAATTGCACATGCCGTCAAGGGTCTCATTTCAGAGATAACAGATGTTACAAAACAGCAAGTAAGCGTCATATTTAGTTAAAAATAACCTCCAACACGTAAACCTCTTTTTCATGACGAAAACAACAATTATTAAATATAATTATAACTCACAAAATCAATTATTTATTATAGCTTGTTGCTTATTAAAAACTGAGTATATAATTCAATTCACTAATTTCGTAATCCGCTTGACCAATTAATACCTTACAATTAATTAAGGTTTTTAGCTGGGATGAAAAAAAGCTAATGGCACGAGAGGGATTCGAACCCACGACCAGTTGAGCTATCGTGACCTCGATCCACTCGGACATCAACACCCCATCTCAATTGAAAAATGGCAAAAGGAGGGAAAACTCATAAGGTGGGGTTGAGATGGGGAATTGATGTCCGAGTGGATCGAGGTCACGATAGCTCAAGTGGTAGAGCAGCGGCGTATCAAGCCGAAGGTCGTGGGTTCGAATCCCTCTCGTGCCATTAGCTGTTTTTCATCTCAGCTAAAAACCTTAATTAATTGTAAACTGAGTATATAGTTCAGATACATTTATCAACGAATTGCCATATAAAAAACCTGACCTCATAAACGTTGTAAAAATTGAATACAAGAAAAGCACAAACTTGCTTTACAACAAACTTCAATTAATGAACACACTCACACACGCACACACACACACACAAAACGAGAAGCAACAGATAACGTTATAGCTATGGTTCCAAAATTCCAGCACTAAAATACAAGACAGCCAGGATACGAGAAAAACAAATAATATTAAACATACACACACTGGGACAGCATAAGCACCAAATTAGTAAAAAAGATAACACGCACAACATATTAACAACAAAACACCTCAGAAGCAGACATAAATTATATCTATTATACACAAAAAAATATATAAAAAAATTTTCATCTACCTCAGAAGCAGAGATTAAATGAACCAAATCAAAACAACTGACCAATGAAAAATTCAAATAAGAAAGAGAACAATACTAAATATAGCATGAAATAGACAAAAAAAGTCACAGAACAGTCTTTAAATAGACCAAATCGATACAACACACCAATGAAATGTATAACAATAATAATCATATAATACCAAGTACAGAGTAAACGCCAAATTAATTAGCAAGTAAAGCAGCGATGGACAAAAAAATAGAAAATCAAGCTAAATCAGCATAAATCAGTTCATCTAATCTTTACAAACAAAAAAGTGGACAATGTTCCGTCGCTCACAATACAGTGATACAGCTAAATATCTGGGAATGACCTTAGATGCCAAGCCGAGATAGAAAGAACACGTGAAGAAAAAATGACGGAAATAGGTTTAAGGTATAGACAACCATACTGGTTGATAGGACCTGGCTCCAACCTTGCTATATAAAATAAAACATAATATACATATAAACAACTCATAAAGCCTATTTGGACATGTGGTATTCAACTATGGGGTTGTACCAAACACAGTAATACCAAAATCATAAAACACTCCAAAATAAAATCTTTCGTAACATGGTCAATACACCTTGGTACATAAGGAATAAGGGTTTAGGCGTTGACACGGCGCTCATCACTGTAAGTTAAAGGTCCCGGGTTCGAATCCAGCGGCCCTGCATTCGAACACGACATACTTACAAATGTGTGGTGATTCATTACTGTCCGTTAATTGATAATTCTTCAGAAATCGTGAGATGCGGTCTGGTGTGATGTAGGCTTCAGAAAAACATTTTCTTTATCGTGTCAACGTTTCGATCTTTATTGAGATCATCTTCAGGGCCTGGGATTTACAAACATTGTTTACATTTAACAAATACATTTAGGATGTGGAAAAGTGAATTTATACAATGCAAAATATATTTTTTTGAAGATGATCTCAATAAAGATCGAAACGTTAGCACGATAAAGAAAATGTTTTTCTGAAACCTACATCACACCAGACCGCATCTCACGATTTCTGAATAATTATACTTACAAATTTTTGTTTTTTTCAAAAACACCAGCACCCATAGAGTTTATATGACCGCTGCTGTTGTGAACCCTCGTAAAAAAATCTTACGTAGGGATCTTACAAAATATAAAAAAATGCAAAGATTTGCCGCCAAACACCAGGCTCTCCTCAGCCAGCACGAGAATGAGGAAGGGACCAAACTCTTACATAACAGAAACACGGTCAGAAGATTAAAAAGAACAAAGCCATATGAAGTGTAGTTAAAAATGAATAGTGAAATGTTTACATTACATTATTATTTACATTCTTATTGTACCAATGGTTTATGAGAATGTAAACATTTATTTACTCTATAGTATTATTGTAAAATTAATGGTTGATCTAATAAGACCAGTTTTAATACATAAATTAAATTAAAAAAAAAGGAAAACAGCAAATATTAAAAAACAATCTTCAATCAGAATCAACCAAATCAATACAATTCACCAATAAAAAAGTAAAATAAAAAAACTATAACGGCTACAGCATAGTAACAGTTGCCAAATTATTACACAAAGGGCTCAAAAAATGTTAAAAAGAAAACGGCATAAAAAGATATTACTACAAATGTTATATAATAGCTATATAATAGCAAATACACAATTACCATATTAATAAAGTTTCTGTCTTAAGTTAGATTCTTCTACTCATCAATACTCTAGATCTCGGTATGTTCGTGATAAAAAAAAATAAATTAAAAAAATTCAGTGATTATTGCTATGCTTTTGACCTATATTAACGTCATCATCAGAGCAAAACAATCTTAAATACGCCTATAGATTGACATAATTAACTTTCTCACAGACGATTTCAAATTTCTTTGAAGACCAACTCAGTCCCATTATTGTCATGATCTGTTACAAGATTGAGGTTGAAACTGAGTCGGTCTTTAAGGAAATTTGAAATCTGAGAAAAAAAAGTTAATTGTGTAATCTGTAGACATATTTAAGATTGCACTGATGATGACCTTAAAATAGGTCAAAAGCTTGGCAGTAACAACTGAATTTGCTTTCATCTTCAATACCATATCTTGATCTGGAGTTTCTTTTTTAGGCCCGGGCTTTTCCTCTCTCTGGAACAGTCATCTAATAAGCCTTCGCATCAAGAGATGACATGTTCCGGTGTTTCGTCGTCCTCGGAATATCCGCACAGGATTGTTTCTACCACTTCGACTTTATACATATGCCTCCGGGGTCTGCATTGTCCAGTTATCAATTCAACTGTTAGTTTAGTCCTAACTCGCCCAAGATTTAATAGTTCTGCGTTAGTTTCTGTGAAGGTCCTTTGATGAACTTTTTCGCATGCCTTTATCCTGGGCTACATTCTCATTGAACGGAGGGACTTAATTTTAATCCATTGTCCAATGATCCGTGTTTTTGGCAGTTTGGAGTCACAAAATGGTTCAGGCGGTGTCCTCATCGAATTAGAATGAATTATTGTGAAGTATCACTATGAAGTACAACAATGAAGTAACAACTATGAAGTATCATCTCTGAAAATTCAGTTCTTCACCCTGGATCTTTTCTTTTTGAGATAGTCAACTAAAAATCTTGTAAGGACTCAGAACATTTCTGCAATCCATTTTCTTGAATGAACGGACATTTTAACACATTATTTTCTTTAATTCACTACTTTCGTGGTCCGCTTGACCAATTAATACATGACAATTAATTAAGGTTTTTAGTTGAGATGAAAAAAAGTTAATGGCACGAGAGGGATTCGAACCCACGACCTTCGGCTAGATACGCCGCTGCACTACCACCTGAGCTATCGTGTCCTCGATCCACTCGGACATCAAAAAAACATGAAAAATGGCAAAAGGAGGGAAAACTCATAAGGTGGGGTTGAAATGGGGAGTTGATTCCAATGATTGAGAATTCAAGACAGCAAACATTTTCAAACAACCTAATTCTAAAAATAAGCTGATTTTTAATATCAGGAACTACAAGACCAAATTAAAAGATATGGTGTTGAACGATTTAAATCCGCGATGGAAACAAATCCAAAAGTTAGACACATATAAGCTGTCAATTTAAAATGATGGTTTTATGAGAATCTAACGAGAAATAAACAAACCAATTTATTTGATCACAAAGTAAATTTCTAATTAGTAAATTCATTCTAACATCACCGTGAGATGGTCAATCTGTCGACCTTCTCTTTGACCAATATACTCCTGTTATTTTACTTTTCGATATCCGCTAGAGCAAACGAGAATTTTCAATTTTGAATAAAAAGATTCAGAACAAATCAATAAATAAAAAGTACAAAATTTAAAAAAAATCTTTAAAAAATGTCACTTCAGAAGCAGATATTAAACAAACGAATCAATACAGCTAACCAACGAAAAATTAAAATAAGAAAAAATAAGAGTAAACACAGTCTAGATAAATTCACTAAAGTAATACAGAAAGAAAACAACGTAAAAGAGATTATAATAAATGAACCAAAAGAATAGGCAGTACAACTAACAAATAAACCATTGTAAAATTTATATAATAATCATAGTATAATAAAGGCTTATAGAATAGGATAAAGAAAATGCATGTGAACCATTTGTAATGTTTAACCTTAAATTGAGTTTTCTTCCAAGACGTTAATAAAATTAAAGAACACTGAAAACTTGTAACATAATCTTATTGATTTAATTTTTACAAAGGGATAGGAGAACCATGTACGGTTCACAACAACTGCCACATCAAATCCAGTGATATTAAAGTCTACTGCACCAGCGGGTATGGCAACAAGGGGGTCTGCGTATGTCCTCCTGGCTTCCACTCGCTGGACAATGGAACCGACTGTATCGCTTCTTCCGGTGACTATCGAACATTATGTTAACTAAACTTCCCCAAAACAAACCTTTATGTTTTGTTAAACATTCGGTTTAAATTTTCAGAACTGGGCGGAGAATGTATTTCAGACGCTTCCTGTACAGCACTGAACACGAAATGCCTAGCTAGATGCGTCTGCAAGGAGAAGTACGTGTTGAACGCCGCGAAAAACCAATGCCTCCCACGTGAGAAAATAATCTAATATAGTTATTTTTAAATATTTTCGGTACTTAATTTATTTCAGATTCTACGGGCTTGAACGGCTACTGTAGAGAAGACGTTCAGTGTTCCGCCATCGTGAACGTCTCCATATGCCACCCGATCAAAAAGAAATGCGTCTGTAGCGAAATGTGGTCACGGGAAATAAACGGCACTTGCTTTCCCGTATTAAGTATGCACTATAGTTTTTTTTTTTTAATTTAAACGAAAAAATATTAACCAAAAAATCCAGAATTGGACGAAGCCTGTAGTCACAATCACGAATGCCATCCTGGATCGGAGAATGACACGAGCGTTGAATGTTACAACGGCTACTGCCAGTGCGTGCACGGAGCGATAAGAAATGGAAACGATTGCATATTACTAAGATGTAAGTTGAATATTAATTATTATAAAAGCTAATAATGTTCTTATAATAATAATAGTATAATAAACACAAAACATAATGAATATAGTTTCAAACTGAAGGTTCTATTTTTGTTCTATAATTTGACTATAATAAAGAAATTTCGTTTTCCCTAAAAATTACTTCAACATTATTCGGTATATCTCTCGAATTTATCAAACGCTTCTTTCATAGTGGAAGTGAATGACCTACTATCAAGCCATAAGTTAATTTTTCCGACGGCTCAGCTGGGAGTGGAAAATTCAACAGTGCCATTTATGACCCCTCTCTAAAATTATACAAAAAATATATACTGCAGTCATTTATATCTGTATTAACAGTTAAAATATACTCTTTGGAATATATATCTAAAATAGAAGGAAATGAATTGTCTTTAGTGTCACGTATTGTTCTCTTATAATTTATATTACACCGGATTTTATATTAGACGCCAAAATAAAAATTCTTGAAGTCCTACATGATTTTCATTTAATTAAAAATGACCAAACTCAATTGATCTATTTATTAAGTAAATTGAATTGTGAATGCATGTATCAAAAGTGTTTTTGCAAGGATTTAATTAATCAAAAATAAAATGTATAATTAAAAACACTAATCTTATCTTGACCTAATTCGCGCAGCCAATTCACAGTGCTATTTTCATTTGTCTCTTCGACAATGTACTTGAAAAGTGTTATTTTGAGGACTTAACCAGGTAAACTTTACCCATTGAATAAATTTTTTGATAGTCAAGAACTTTACTTTGAGAGTTAGTGATTTTGTTTGTTAAATCAAACCGTAAGCGAAAAACAAAACAATATTTTTTTTAAATTTAACCCTTTCTTTTGGGACCTTTTTATAACAATTTTGATGTTTTATTCTAGCTATTATTGGAGATACAGGAGGCCGTTCCGTCGCTTCAACATCATTTTCTAAACATCGTACGATCCTCCCTGCGATTCTTCCAATTTTATATTTATACTTTAGGTGATGTTACGTCAAATTATTTAAATAAATTAAAATTAAATCAAAATCGACAATTCCATTATCTGCCTTTAAATCTTATTTAAATTAAAAATGTTACTTGTAATCCGCAATGCCGGTTGTAAAATGTTGTATTATTACTGTGTAATAATGTATAAAATTTTAATTTAAACAAAATACTTAACATAGAAGATTTTTTAACCTATTTTATCCCTTTGCTCGTAGGCGTTATTTGCTTATTATATTATACCAAATATGGTCCGATAATACGAAAGTACTAGTTATTATTTAAATTGTGCCGCAGTTTTGGTGCTGGATAGTTAAGCAATTTTTATTTTTAATGCACAATCATTGAGATAACGCTATCTACATTTTACAGTATCTACTCATACTTTTGTATTTGTATTTGTAAGACCACTTCAAAATTGCATTTGGACATGGTTTCTATTTATAAAAGAATTTAAAAAGTTATAAAACGAGTTAGTTGTATTTTATTTTATTAAATCCTCAACGAAATCAACTTCTCATTTTCTGGGCTCTGTAAGAAAAAAATCGGTAGATTTTCTGTTCATTTTGATTTTGTGGCACATTTGCCGTTAGAAAGCAGGACAATACACACGGGAAATCGCACAGGCCAACCACTATAACGATGGTCACAATTTGTTAAAAAGGAGTACTAAGAGCGTTCATAGAAAGGTAATAATTAACCTCTGAACTTATATTCTATAAATACTTTTCTAAATATCTCAAAAGTTAATATTAATAAATATTTTTACGCTTCCTTTTTCTAAAATTAAATAAATTAGAGTAAGATAAATTTTTTACTTGTTACTTTTTCTTTTTTTTAGTTAGTGATTGGTTAAATAATAAAGTATGAACGCCTGATTTTAACTTGGATATACTAAACCTTCAAGACTGATCAGAGTTGAGTGGTAGGTATAACCGTATTGTCATTTTAATTCATTTTAACTTTTCAACTATTTCTGTTAATTATTTTTACTTTTCATTAATTATTTACCATTTTAAATATTTCTGGCTAGATTTGCATTAACCTTTTAGTAATATTACTCTCTTTAAGAAACTTGAGTTTTAAAGTTGTTTGTTTGTGAATGTATTTCGAAAAAAGCTTTTATTTGTTGATTAAAACAAACATACCAAATAAAAGAAAATAGTATTTCATTTTTTATTGAACATATGAAGCAATTAGTGGATTTATCTATAGCACTTAGCTCCCTGGTATGACTATGTTAAGTGATTACTGATTTATATAATTTATAGAATGAGGTGGAGGTGGAGGTGGAAATTTTATGTTGGGTTATGGAGGTGAGGGGGAGACGGGTTCACCGTCAGTCTTCATTAAGGGAGAAGGTGAGGTAAGGTGGAATAAAGCGATGATGTGGTGTCACAACCGGCCTTTCTTAACTAATCACGCCAATAAATACATTCTTCTTACCACTCACGCTTGGAAACAAAACTATTAGTAATATACAATGAATGAATGAATACAATAAAACAACTCCGTTTCCTCCAAGAATCGGAACAGGGGACCGCAATACTCGCTACCGACTTCAAGCACAATTATCCGTTAGCGTTCCCACGCGTTCTCTACATATTGCCAAGGAATTGTACAATTCAATTATGTGGGACACATCGAACTGCTTTTCTCTATATGCTGGATGCATAGTCAGGTTTAGTCCAAAAGTAAGTGCCATGTGTCAGCCTCGCGTGGCGTATTCTTAATCGTACGAGGATGACCCTTATTCTACGAGTCCCTTACGTGAGGCTTTATCTGCCGATCTGCCCAACCGACATTGCCACTTACTTTTAATCATGTTTTATAATGCAGTTTTAGAGTCAGAGGGTGGTCCGGAGGTCGGGACGCCCACCCTTAGCCACCTTTTGTTACGCTTAAGATCTATCTGTCCGGGTATCCAGTCCACAACGAGAAGGTCGACGAAGAACCCGTCACGGACTGCAATCGGTTAATAACCGCTTGAAGGAATCGGTACAGACAAGGAAGGCAGAGCCACCATCGTCTTTATTTCTGTATTAACAGAATATCTAAAAAGTAACATAATTTGGGCAAAGGTTATTTAAACAATGACATTTTATTTACATTTTATTTATTTAAAACAGACACTTTTTTAAAAAATTGTATGCATTTTTGTGAATTATGAAAAAGTTAAAATTTTCCATGTGACATGCTGCATATTGCTATTGCAGACAATAAATTAATACTTTTATGACCTTTCGGTTTATAAAAAAAATATATATATACATGTAGGTGGCGACGCAGATGGTGCCGCGACAATGCTCCTAGCGACGAAATAAGGAAGACAGAAGAACAAAAGAAAGACGACAGACGTACAGAAGTAGTGCCGAAGGCAAGTCGTTGTCGAAGTCGTATATACATGTATCTATATTCCTATTGTATTTTTATTATTCAGTTATTAAAAACTATTAAAACAGTCTCATGGTTACTTTACTCCCACATACATATGAAATATACAACAAAAAATTCAATCAGTATTTACAGTTTAATTTATTTTTAGATCCTCATGCTAAATTAACTTTGTTTTGGCTCTGCGTGTACTCCTGTACGACTTTGAAAACATAGAGGCACTGAACTTTACAAGACGTATCCGCGGCAACAGAATCCGGTGAAAAATTCTGCAGCAGCGATATACAGTTGTTGACTTTCACGGTCTGGCAAATCGGCTGCAATAAAAACTCGTTTTATTATATTAATTAGTCAAAATCGTTATTTTTATATACACACCCCTTCTTTTGTACATGTGCAACTGACACAAGGTGAAATATTTGCCGTTCTTCCGATATCAATGTTGATCTGTTTGATAGAACACGACGCGCTATCCTTCCAATGTGCAAGGTCGATTTGCGGTATCTTTTTGCACGGCACTCTCGGATTCCTGAAATTTCGACTCATTAAGTTTGGGCATTGTTTTAAAATTTAATTTAACTGACATGAATGTATGAGGGAGGTCGAACACGTTTCTTTGGATGCTCTTCACGCTGTCTAAGTTATTACAGAGCAACGATGCCAAGTGGATTTTTCTTATTTCTCCAAGCTGAGCTAGCGTGAATCGTGTGAATTCCCTGTCGTTCTCGTACCAGAATCTATCGCAGCGTTTTATTTTTGAAAACTGTTTTGCTATTATGCATGCGAAAGTCGGCCCGACGACTCCTCCATGGATGGGCCTCTCGCTCATCCCACCGGGAAACAGATCTACGTCGTCTACGTGTGCGTACGTTCTGATTAATTGCTCGACTAAATCTGAGTTTGTCGTGGAAAGGAGGTCGTTGAATGAATTCGCCCTTCCAAGCCCGCACCACTCTCTATAGTCGTTGTAACTGTGTATACCATGATCTCTACCTGGATTTGGTTGGTAAAGAATAAATATTTATTTTATTATAATTACAATCGTCAATTATAAACGAACCTCTTTGAATGTTTAAAGAAACTAAATCCATCCCTGAAAATGGGACGCTCTTGTTTTCAAACAAGTGTTCTGTCACTTCTGTTGTAATGAAGTTGTCTAAAGTTTCCATAGGAGTGTCGACCAATCCCAAAATCAGTTCGTCTATTATACCTGGCTCGTATAAAACCTTTAAAGAAAATATATTTATAAGTAAATTTAAATATTGTTATGTATGCTTAAAACAAACCTCTGGGTTGAAGAAATGATCTCTAAGTCGAATGGCCGGATCTTTTGTTTGGTAATCAGGAGTAGCTCTTCTGAAATTAGGACGGAGCAAACTATGGCCGAACCTGAACGCAGCGGCGGAAAATTCATTGACGATCGTTACATCACACAGCGGGTCATAATCTACAATTTATACGGTACATAAAGCAAGAGTTTTGAGAAAATATTTGTACGTGCGTACCTCTGAAGTAGCCGTCTTTGTTCAGTTGTAGTCCGTATTTGGAAATGACCGACCTCCCGACTACTCGTGGAAGCCATTCGGAAAACGCTATATGTTGATAAACCGCTCCTAAGATTCGTCTTGTCTCTTGGTATAATCTTTCATCGTCCCAGTGAGGATTGATGCGAGATAACTCTCTCGCAATCCTGTTATGCTCTCTTAACCAGACAGTATGCAAAGAACCTAACGCCGGCTGTTCACTCGCTCTGGCGTCACCTTGAAAGATTTTGTACAGTAATTAGTTATGTTAAGTTATTCCATTTCGTGTTTATTACCTGCGTTAAAACAAACACGGTTCCTTGACCTGCATTCGAGGTTTGTAGGCGTTTCCGGCAACAGAGGCTTTCTTCGCAGGCCGAACGGACTCCTTGTCACGTTCAACGTGCCTCCACTACGGCTTCGAAGGCCCGATGCATCGCAAGTATCACTTCCGTAAACGAAACTAAGATCGAGGTATGCGGTCAATTGGTTCATTTGTTCTCGTGCACCTAAAATTAAAAAAATATTTATTATTCTATAAATCGTCTTATATTGTTAATAGTTTACCTAGAGTTTCTTGCCCAGGCATTGATCTCGTTGCAGGTATACAGAGCCTCTCGCCATTAGGACCTTTTGAAGGGAAATAAGGATCACCGTCTGGAATTTCGATGGGGAAACATTGCGGATGGACGGTCTGCGGCGAATCGCAAGATTGACAGTTTAAAATCCCTTCCCCGACGAAACCCTTGTTGACAGGTGTAAATGTGAGATCGTGGTCTGTTATTTGAGAAAACTGCATCATCATGAGAGTGTATCTGGTGTGAGGGCGTGACTTGTCCGTGTGGATCATAGTCGAAATCAGCCTAGGCGAAGGTAAAGTACCTCCATTGACGGAAAACATTCGTGGAGCACCAATACCTTAAAAAAATGAAAATGAATATTATTGTTATTTCTTAAATTTTAAAGAACGTTACCGTCCGCGTATACTGGCGGTAGTATCCTAGCAAAAGGCCTGAAGCTCTGACCGTATTCAGGTCGCTCGAGATTATTGCACCAACCGCTGTAAGTCCTGTACTTGGACGTGTGATCACAGGGCAGTTTCATTTCGAGACATTCCGTCTCCCTTGTTATCCCGAGTTCAACTTGAGGCAAAGTTGAAACCAGAGAATTGATGTCTCTCGTTTCTAAATCCTGAAGCTCCCTGTTCAAACAAATTTATTAGAAATACAATTTATCTACGGTCCTAAAATTTACACACCCCTGGATGAAGCTTCTTATCAATCTTGTGGAAGCGTATTCGAGCAGTAAAGAGGTATTGGCGATTTTGGCCGCCTGGCGTTTTGGGCGATTGAAACCAAAAGCGGTTCCTACTGGAGATTGCGGATCTGCCATCAAATCTATAAAAAATAATATTAAAAAATCCTTAGTAACGTCTAAAAGGTTTCATGACTTTTACTTTGAGTATGAAGCATCCACTCGTGCTTATGCAGCTTTAAAAGATCACTCTCGGCTTTCTCAATAGCTTCTGATATTTGTTTGTTCGGAATGATGAACTGTTTCTTCTCTTCCTTCCACGGTGCTAAGTTCAAGCCGAGGATATCAGTTCCACACTCCATATAAGAATTCCTTCGAAATTATCAATATTTAATGTAACATATTTATATATACATTTTTTGTGCCTTACAGGAAAGGATCGATTGTCAGGAAAGCGTTCGGCTGGACGTACTTGATGGCGGTGTTATCGCAAAGAATTCTAGCGAGGCTTGAACCTTCCCTCAAGGATTTCAGTTGTGCACGTGTGAAACCAGAATGCTCGGATTCCATCCAGTGCCTATCACCAGATCTTATCTACAAAATATATTTTTTCATGTAACCAATTTTCAAATATAGACAATAGATGTTTGTAATATTTACGGATAAAAATTGTTTTGCTAGAAGACATCGGAAGGTAGGGCCGACCGTGCTTCCTTCAGGGACGTACTCGCTCAGACCGCCTGAGAGTAAATCGATCTCCGATACATTTCTAAGTGAATAAAGTCAATAATGTATTAAAATCGATCGTCCTGTTGGCGATATAATTGAGTTAAATCATATTGCAACACCTGTAAACATTTAGAAGAGCGTTGATGGATTCTTGGGGCATAACGTTGATCAATTCAGAAAATGTGGAAGGCTCTTTCATCCCGCAAAACTTCAACCACTTCGTGTAGCCAGGAATGCCGTGGTCTCTGCCTTGCTGAATAAGCTGGGCGATTAAATCCAAACCTCCGCCCTCTTTACCAATCAAAACAAAATTCTTAGAACGCTTCATTTACATACATTATCGTTTCTTATTTATATATTGAGAAATAATTATTTTACCCTGCTCTGGCGTCTGGAACATGTGTTGGGTGAAAACAGAATTGATATGCCTTTGACTGTCGAGTGCTGGAGATCTGAGCAACGACTGTACAATTGTTTCTACGCCGTTTTTCGAATACAGTCTGAACGGTGCATAAAATGTTTTGTCCAAAGTGTCTTCTCCTATTACTCGGCCATCCTAAAATAATTTCTCATAGTTTTAAGCTTTTACAGAATGAGATGGAACCATATCGAAAATCCGCACACATCGGGCGCGTTTTGGCATCTATAGAGGTTGGTTTACCCATCTATATGCCATTTTTTAATATTAAAATAGGTGTTTTGGGAAGTGCGGACAGGAATTAAAATAGATATAATCGAATATCTCAGAGGCACGACACATTCAAGTAGAAGACCCTGATCACATTTCGTTTTTTAATTTAGACGGCACGAAACCAAGCGGAAACTCGTATGAGCACAACACAAAAAACAGCGAAAATAGCCGGACCCAGAAAAGTGTCGATCAGTTCAAGACGATTGATTCAGACGAAGATCAAGTACCACCAAAACGTTAACTTAAACAACTCATTTTCTTCGCTAAAAATACTTTATAACCGATAACAAATTTGATTTCACATTGATAACGAAAAACTATAAAAGACTCCTACAGTTAATAGTGTACGACCTTTTAGACATTTTATGAATATAAGATAACATATACAAAAGACATGACTGACTTAATGCACTCACTTACAAAGGAATTACTGGAGGGTTACCGCATCAGAACCAGGATTCTGGTTGGACTCCTGACAAAGCACTATAGCCTAAGCGGCACATGCGCCGAATAAGAGTACAGACAGAAGAAACATTGTGCAGATATTGCCATGATAAAGAAAAGACCGCAGAACACATTTTATGTTTTTGTGAGGAGTTATGTAGGTGGAGATTGTTGCAACTAGGAGAGGAAAATTCGCAAGCATGATTAAGGAGCCGCTAGCTATGGAGGTTGGTAAAAACCTAATGGGCACCAGTGATTTATAAAAAATAGAAGAGCACAATAGATCTTCTCAGGTCAAAGTGCAGAACTCCTTTTGGCCACCTCTTTTATCCTCAACCCGTATCCATAAATAACCTTAGTAGACGATCAAGTTGTGTCAGATCAAATGATAACAGACGTTCAAGCTGCAGGTTCATACTTTCAGATGTCTTCATAATATTTTGTTTAAATAAGCTGTAATTATTAAGCTCTTACCAAATCAAAAAGCTTCATGCTAGTCGGCATTAGAGATACAGAAAAATGTAATGCTGCAGAAGCGACGGCGTTGGCAATACTGGGGTCTTGGTTGATGTCGTACCCCTGAAAATAGCCATCGTCCAACGGTTGCAGGTTGTAAGATTCCATTGTATCCTGTCCAAAGATTGATTATTATTGCTATTATATCAAGATTGTTTTATCGATCGGGGTACCTGGCCGAGAATAAGAGGCAGGAATTCTTTGTAAGTTATGTACTGAAGCTGGGCGATCAAGAGTCTCCTGGCTTCTTGAAAAAGTATCTCATCGACCCAGTGTGAATTCAGTATCGACAGCTGTTCGGCCAGACGGTTGTGCTCTCTTGCCAGTATAGTGTGGATCGTGGCGAGGCCGATATTCTCGTTCACTCGTACATCACCGGACTTAAAACACCTGAGAAATGAGCGCGATTAAAGAAAGTCGGCTGATCGTATGCATTTTGCGGTTTGATAATAGTAGCCTTGAATATAACCTGTGGTTTCGACTTGGTCTGCAGTCTGATGAGTTGCTGGGAGGAAGCAGGCCGTTGGGAAGAAGAAGCTTCCCCCCTTCGAAAGTCCTGAGCTGTTCATTTTCCTCAGTTGATGTCCCATAAAGTGAAGATCCGTCGAGAAAAGCGGTCGCTTCATTGACCTGCTCTCGAGGACCTAGTCATTTTCGTTTCAAATTATTGTTTATTTAAATAAAAGAAAAAATGCTGAAAGAAATTTTATATTACTTATAAAATGTTATTACCGTAAGTCTAAGCTAATATCATGTCCTTTGAATTTAATTATAAAGTATTTAACCTTTACGATAACAATTTTTTTGCATGCAAACAAATAACAAACAATTTTCATACTGCTTTGGCAAAAAAATACTGTCCTGTCAAATGACTTAGTAAATGTAAAGTCCAATAATTAAACTGTTTGTTGTTCGAAGTACAATTACCAAATATGTAATTATTTTTTTATATCTTGCTAAACTATCAACAGAAACACGGCAAGATTACTTGTTCCTTTTGCACTTTAGTCACTCTTTCACCAGAAGTTTTCAAAAATTAAAAAAAGAAACTACATAAAAAATTGAAAAAAAAGCCTGTTTCTTGAGTCGTATTGTAATGAAACAGTAAAACTGTAGGATTCTACTATAGCTCATACTTTTTCAAAGTCCGTCTCCCGTTTCTTAAAAACATAAGTGGCTAGCCCCAGTGAGCTACTGCTCATCCATCTCTTCACCCAGGAAGAGAGAGAAAGAGAACTATTTATGTTAAGTCAACAAATGTCAAGAAAAGCTCTTAAAAAGTAAGAATGTTTTAAAAAAACTTTAACATCAGAAAAATCCCTCTTCCCTCCACAAAATAGATGTTGTACCCTGGCAGAAAATAATGCCAATGAGCCATTTGTGATTCTAAAGTAAACACTGATCACGTTTTCTAACGTAAATAGCTTCATTTAAATTAATTTTAATTTGTTTACACGGTACATTACACAATTATTACAATTCCTGTTTTATTATAATTAAACAGTATAAAACACTTCTCCTTATTATTTTATTAAATCCCATCACTATGTCTCTCTCTCTCTCTCTCTCTCTCTCTCTCTCTCTCTCTCTCTCTCCATTCCTTTTTTCTTTTCAATACAACTAGTAAATACTATTGTTACTACTACATCATTATTTGAATCTAATTTTTTTATTGATTTAATATTTTGGTAAAAAAAAACTTTTTTTAACAATTTGTTTTAAAATTGTATTAAATTGTAGTCAGAAATTGTATTGGGACATAGCTCATACATATAGCTTGGGACATATAGCTCTATAACGTTCCAGGCAGGACCATTCAGGAGTCGAACATCCAGCATAAGTGTTTGGAAGTTGAGAGAAATTTGGCGAACTCGCTCGCTGGAGGACAACTATAGATCCTCACGCTGGCACATATTGCAGGGAGAACATATCTCAGAAGCAGTATAAGGCCTAGAGATCAACGAGACAAGCTCACCACAAAGCCTAAAAAAGCATCTTGCAGTATGAAAATTCACTGCAGGCAATAGGCTCGCGCACTTCACAGCTGGAGCCAGTTCTTTGTAAAGTATAAAGTTTTCAGAAGTCATCGCTCTTGAACGGAAAGAAGCTTTCTTTCCCTCTTTGAACTCCAACAGTATTTTTTTGTTTACATCCACTTGTAATACTTTCGGCTTGAAAGAATCCAAATTATCGGAAACATCATATTTTTCAGCCAGAGATGTCCAATCTTTTGCTCACAAAATCCTCCTCTTTAAGGCTTTGGTCGCCTACTTTATTTATGTACTATGTAATTTGTAATGTAAGAAATTTCCATATTTATTTTATATTATATATATATTGGGTTGTCCGGAAAATAATGCAGGATTTTAAGTTTTCATTAAAAAAAATCTATATAAAATATTCTGTTTACGTTTACAGGATTACTCATTTGTATGAATGTCAACACTTATTAATCCTCTTCCAAATGATATTGTTTGTTTACCTCTGTAGCATTCCGCTACTTGGAAATAATTCAGTCATCCTTATAATGTCAAAGCGAGAATTTCGTACGATTTTCTTTTACGAGTTTAAACTCGGCCGAAGCGGAGCCCAAACGGCTAGAAACATTAACCAAGTCTGGGGCGAGGGTTGTGTTAATGAGTGCACTGTGCAAAGGTGGTTTAAAAAATTTCGGGAGGGAGATTTCAGCCTTGAAGATGAAGAAGGTCGTGGAAGGCCTTCCTCTCTTAATGATGATGTTCTGCGATCAGTGGTGGAAGAAAACCCCAAAACAACTGTTCGAGAACTTGCAGAGCAACTCAAAGTCAGTAAAACGACCGTCGCTGACCACCTCAAGGCGATTGGAAAAGTGAAAAAACTCGAAAATTGGGTTCCACACTCATTAAACGATCGCCAAAAAAATCAGCGCTTTGATGTTTGTGCATCACTTCTTTGTCGAAACAAAAATGACCCATTTCTGGCCAGAATTGTTACATGTGACGAAAAGTGGATTCTGGACAGTGGCTCGACAAAGGAGAAGCTCCAATACATTTTCCAAAGCCCCCAACTCATCAAAAAAAGGTAATGGTTACGGTATGGTGGGCTTCATTTGGTTTGATACACTACAGCTTCTTAAATCCTGGCGAAACCATCAATGCTGAATCATACTGTAACCAAATTAATACCATGCATCAGAAATTGGCAGTAATGAAGCCCTCTTTGGTCAATCGGAAAGGGCCCATTTTGTTGCATGACAACGCTCGACCACATGTGTCACGTGTAACGTCACAAAAATTATTGGAGCTTGGCTATGAAACTTTGCCTCACCCACCCTACTCTCCGGACCTCTCGCCTACTGACTACCATTTTTTTAGACACCTGGACCACTACTTACAACACATAATATTCAAAAATCAAACGGAACTGGAAAATGCATTTATTGACTTTATCAATTCTAAAAATTCTGAATTCTACTCAGACGGAATTAATAAGTTACCAACACGTTGGGAGAAATGTATTGAGAGTATGGGAAATTATTTTGATTAAAGAACATTGCTTTAAAGTAACTAGTTTCTTTTTTTTTGTTTAATACCAAAATCCTGCATTATTTTCCGGACAACCCAATATATATATATATATATATATATATAATATAAAATATTTTCACGTAAAATACATTATTCATTGTTAAAGTTTCTTTTTAAAGTTTAGATTTTTTTTAATATGTACAAAAAAAGTCAATACCAAGTGTACACGACTTTCGTGGGGCTGTAGCGGATCTGGTGTACTCTTGGCAACGTGCACCGCCGTGGATGGGGTCATTTTCCGGCAGCCTTATCGGAAAGCATTCGGGGTGAAAATCGGCAAATTCAACTCCGCAGCATTTCAACCTTACGCCGTTGTACCCTTTAGCAGAAATACGCAGTAAAAAAAAAGAGAAACGAGACGAAATTAATATTCATTGCTTATTCACCTGTCATTTGAGGTGTTAAAGAAAGGTCATTGGTAACCAGTTGCGCCCAGATTGCTGCGGTAGCTACTAAATGCGAGTGCTGCCTGTCCACTTGGTCGTGTACTCCCAACGAAACGTCTCTCGCGCTCGGAAGACCCTCCGGGCTAAAATGAATCGAATAGTTAAACGTACAAAAAGGCTCGATTTATTTATTTACATACTTACTATAAAGCCGTTCCTCGAGGCAAGCTTATATCATCGGCGTAGTCAGGCGACAGGTAACGGGCGTAAGAACTTCCCGCGGAACCCCACGAAGGCGTCTGCACGTTGTTGCAATGACCGCTCAACGAGCGGTACTTCTTCGCCTGGCACCAAGGCTCTTCGTGAGCGGGGCAATTCTGTCCAAGTTCGGTCCCGATGACTGGATGTCCCACCAAAGCAGACGCGGATAACCCGAGGCTGGAGGAAAACCAAGACTATGAAAAGAAGACCCAAAAAAATCGATTAGCAAAACTTACGCGTGGGACATGTACTTGGTCGTCTCTTCCGCCATGAGAGCAGCATGAGTGATGTTCTTAGTCGACGGTTTGCCTGTGTGCGAAGCACCCATGAACCACGCCGGAGTTCCTGGTTCCTGTCTTATACCTGTTTTTGTTCAAAAGCGATTCTTACTTCAATTTCCCAACTATGAGATTTAAAAGTTAACAGAATAAAAATATAAAAATAGGAAGAAGAATAGAAAAACATATCTGCTTATGTGCATTTCAACAGAGACAATGCAATTCACGTAGTGCGACGACGGAAATTAGGATAAAAGGTATCAAACGCACGATGAAACCGTGGGCCAAGGATAATCTTAAAAAAGTATAGAATAGTATTGATTCGACTGAGGATTGGCCATACCCAGTTAACCCATGGACACCTCCTTATCGGCAAAAGACCCACCATGTGGAGAAACAGTCACTACAAAAATATAATATCCAACGACGGAAGAATTTTAGACCCTAACAATGACTGTAGAGATAAATTATTTGAATACCTGAAGTTAATACAAGTTTCTGGTTGCATATATGCTTCTTGCTTCCATTGGGGTGTAACTATATTTAATTAAATTCACTAATTTCGTGGTCCGCTTGACCAATTAATACTTTACAATTAATTAAGGTTTTTAGTTGAGATGAAAAAAAGTTAATGGCACGAGAGGGATTCGAACCCACGACCTTCGGCTAGATACTTTTATCATATCAACTGAAAACCTTAATTAATTGTAAAGTATTAATTGGTCAATTAATTGGTAATTGAAAGGAAGAGATAAAGCACTGGAATACTACAAAAACCCAGGTGACTGCCCCTATGTGTGAATGTATTTATAGGCGCAAATGTGAAATGTGTGTGCGTTTGTGTATGATCGGGTCTGTGGCTGAATATAGTACCTAGTAATACTAAATCTACGGCAGCTACCCAACATTTATTTGTAGATATGGCTTGAAAGTTTCTACCCTGTATTTATTAGCGTGAATGTTGGGAGGATGTCGAGGTTATGAACAGCCTGCCGGCTTCCCAACTGTAGTTTTGTAAATAATGTAGCGTATATTTTATATTAGTTTTGGAAGTTAGGTTGTTTCTTACAACAGCATGAATGTGTGAACGTAGTCATGTATGAAGCATTAAATCATGATCATATAACCACGAGTGAAAGGGTTGAATACAAATTAAAGCACTTATATTAGCAATAAGTAAAAAATGATTCGTAGATAGAAAATATACGAAGAGCCGTAGATTGGCTCACACTGAGTTCATTTATACAATGACCTTAGCAGTTAGCCGGCAAAACAAAAAATTAGGGAATTTTTCGGTGCGATGTTATAGCCTCAGCATATTCCATCACCTGTTCTCGCGATTTTATGACAGGTTTTGACATTTTGTCAAATATTAGAACCTTTAAAAAGGATTTACATAAATGAAACAGCACAGACCAATCTTAAATGCCTAAAAGTGTTTGTGGGACAAGTTGAGCGAGAACGGGGACGTTCGAAGTAGGTACAGAAAAAAATTGAGTGTTGATTAGTTTTCTATTATTGAATGTAGGTTTTTAAGTGTCAATTTTTCGTTATTTACGAACCTTTTAAATTGTTCCGGTTTATTGTAATAATGCGAAATTTCTGGTTTTGTTATTTTTGTACTTTTGTATGGTTTCAAAGTTTCCCTGTTGTAGTACGTTCTTTTGTTTTTAAATATTTTTTGTTGGTTATGTGCCATGATTTTCATTGTTTTCTCTAAGGTTGGGATTTTTTCCATTTAAGCGCGTGTTAGAATTTTGTGATACTAGTTTGTTATTTTATTTTTATTACGGCATAGTTGATGCTATTTTCTTTTCTTGCTGTAAATCTTGTTGGCCAATTTGTATGAATTTGAGATGAAACTTCAAAATATTTCAAAAGAATATTCTTTGAGGAGTGGTATGATGGCACAAGGTTCAATTCGAACCTCACGAAGAATTAGCAAGAATTCACACAAGCACGGATGATATTTACAGATAAAAGGTCATTACTCAAAACCAGTATAGCAATCTAAAAGGGTACCGTCTAAGAAAATTATATTTGCAGAAACAAACACTACAAAATAACACCGAATGATCGTTACACAACCAAAAAAAGTAAACCCTCAAGTCCCAAGTCATCTAATAGGTATTTGCTTGGGCTTATGATCTCAAAACTCAAAAACGAAATCAAAAGCCATGACAACAAAATCCAGAGAATGAATTACACTGAAAACAAATAAGTGGTTATACTTTCGATAAAATACTTTTTTCTTCTTCTATCCATTTCTGGACTTTTCCATATTCCGGGTTTAATATCCAACTCACCGTTGTTATGCAGATTCGGTTCGAAACTGTGAAACCTCTGGCTCATCGCTTCGTGAGCCTGATTTACAAAAGCGGTGAGATCCTCCAAAGGCACTTGAGTCGATCCACCTCCTGTTATAAGCAGTCCCCATCTGAAACCAAAATTCAAAATAAATTAAAGTTTATAACAATGATTATTTATTTTATCGATTCGCTTGGAAATACAAAATTAAAACTAACTTACAGCATTCATATCCGCCTAAATTTTGAGCAAAGGTCAAAGCTAACTAATTAAGAGCATAATAAATATGTAAATATTTTGTTTATTTTGTACGTTTAAATTTGGATTTACCGTTTGCAAAAATATCAAAAAGAACTTATTAAAAAATAAATTAATGATTTTACATACATATTCATACATACTACAAATGTGATTAAAAAAAATTTTCACACAGTCACAACGCTAACACTCTAACGCTGCACCCGGAGGTCACATGCCATGAAATGAGAATTAAAGATGGATTAAGGATTTTGCATAATAAATTGATTTCTTTAGTCAAGTTATTCAGATATCGTGAGATGCGATCGGGTGTGATGTAGGTTTCAGAAAAACATTTTCTTTATCGTGCCAACGTTTCGATCTTTATTGAGATCATCTTCAGGGCTCAAAGTGTTTGTCTTCTGTGTAATTGTGCCATCCTTGCGTGTCGTATTGAGAGTGCCTTTAGTCAAGCATAATATGTATAAAAGAAAACAACTTGTTAGCTTAGTTGATTTTCTACCTCTCAAGTATTTTTTAAAGTTTTGGGAAATCAATTTTAAAGCTTTATACAGTATTAAAACAATAAATTGTGAGATTCATCCTATGGTCTGAAAGATGATGAACCTGTAAATTGGCCGTTACATTTATTTGTGGTAAAGTGTTGATAACAAATTGATAATAAAAATTAAAATTCATATTTAGGGGACCGCGGTAGCCGAGTGGTTAGCATGAGAGACTCTCACGCCGCGGTCGTGGGTTCGATTCCCACCGTCGCCTCTGGCCCTTTTTTCCCGATAACCCCCAATTTGAACAACATATATAAGAATTCGTCATGGCTAATATGCAAAGATCATAAGGCCAATAAAAATTAAAAAAAAAAAAATTAATATTTAAAGTCAAACGTTTGAAATTATAACCAATTACACAATAAAATTTGATCTAAGCGTGCGTTTAAGCGTAAGAATATTCAATGGTTGGTCTGTGCGTTTCGTATGAATGTCCTTTTTATATTGTTAGGCGACTGTGTCCAAGCGCTCACGTTTCCAGACCTCCTCAGGAAAATGTTCCACTATTATTTTTTCCGAATTTATCTGTGAGTGATATACTGTACAGTCAGTGCGTTACCATGTGCGCAAGTCCCTTTATGTGAGGGTCTTACATTTGGAAAAATTCTCGACAAAATCAGGGATAAAAGGCCGACCAGAATGGCTTGAAAGGTATTTTAGTTACAACAGCAGTAAAATTAAATTTGGTTGTTATCGATCATTTTGTTCTGCCTAATATCATCGCCTAATATAAGGTCTGTTAGACGATTAGATTGATAATTATTTTAATGAACCTTAGTCATTAACTAAATTAATCTTTAAATTGTTTTTATTAAATTAACCTTAATTCATATTTGCTTAGTGGTCATAATTATTATTATTTATAATAATTATTATTTATTACCAGAATGTAAATAAATACTATAAAAACCTTTTGTTTAGGTGAGGAACATTATATTTGTTTACATACATTTTATAACGATGAATAAAGATTAAGATTAATTGTTCCAATTAATCATTCTTTTTCATCTCAACGAAAAACTTTAGATAAAAAGAATAATTAATCTTAATCTTTATTCATCGTTATATGTATGTAAACAAATATAATGTTCCTCACATAAACCAAATGGGTTTTTATAGTATTTATTTACATTCTCAAAACGTTTTCACACTAGAGAAAACTTAACCAAAAAAACTAAGCATCGTTGTGCGGAATTAGTGTTGTCCACAGTTTTACACATACATGATAAAGAGGGAAAATAGAGTCGGTAAAAAAACCGATAAAGAGTGGCCTGAGACGATCGACGGGTTCCTTTAGATGAGCTGGGTTATCGACCTGCTGGAAACATGAAGTTTTTCGGAGGATCTACGGAAGAGGTCAACACAGAGAAAAAAAACTTCCTTTCAGTTTCGACAGTTTTTATACTGACATCTTCAGGGCCTGTTTTATTATCATATAAAGTATCATATAATTTATTTTTTATATGATAATAAAACAGGGCCTGAAGATGGCAGTATAAAAACTGTCGAAAGCTCGGCGAAAACTGAAAGGATGTTTTTTTCTCTGTGTTGACCTCTTCCGTAGATCCTCCGAAAAACTTCAGGTTCCTTTAGATCTCACCAAAATATCTTTATTTACGGAAAATATTTCCATTTATACAGTATGTATACATTACAATCATAATAGAGGCATTTACAAATATAACAAATACATTATAAATATTTATATAAATATGATAGTATAATCAGACCTGAATATACATGTTTTCCTTCAGTGGTTTTGAAGTGACAATAATTCTTTTTTATAACAGTTTTATGACTGGTAAAATATATCTAGTTAGTCGTTTGCACAGTTGAGTGTTTTATAAGCCCTTTCCAAATAAAGCATTTTTCATATAATTGTTTTTATGCTATATAAAACAACCCTGTTTGTCTATTTCTGTAGGCAGGTACATGAAATTTTATCTCTTGTAATAGAGAGGGTATTTAATTATATTGTAAATTATTTTGAACAATATTAGAGCATCAGTCATTGATCTTCTAGACTCTAGAGAATTTATACCTAATTCTGATCTCAGTTGAATAGTTTGGCTATCTGGTTCGAGGCGTATTTGTAGTCCACAAAAACTTAAAAATTTGTTTTGCACTTTTTCTAAAGTGTATACATGATTACTGTAGTGGGGTGACCAAACAGGTGAGTTATACTCTAAGTGGGACTTGACCAAAGCGAAATATAGATTTTTAATGACATGTTATTTATATTAGTTACATTATGCTTAACGAAACCTAGCATTTTTAGACTTTTGTTTTTTATATATTCCATATGTTCAAGGAACGTTAACTTGGAATCAAAAATTACCCCTAGGTCCTTTATGGAGTCTAGTGAAGTAAGTTTAATATCACAGATCTTATAACCACAGATTAGAGGGCATCGAATACAATGGAAGCGTATTAAGTTACATTTTTTTTTAATATTAAATTATAGGCAGTTTACTGAGCACCACGCCACTAAGTTATTTGATTCTGTTTTGATAATATCACAGTCGGTTGCACAATCTACGGTTCTGGCAAATTTAAGGTCATCTGCAAACAGTTTAAATTTACAATTTTTAAAACATGATTTAATGTCATTTATAAATATATTAAATAATATTTATCTCAACTAAAAACCTAAATTAATTGAAAGATATTAATTGGTCAAGCGGACCACAAAAATAGTAAATTTAATAAGTTAACATGAAAGTATACCTTCACTAAAGCTCTCCGTGGCCATTTCATTAATCAGAATCAAATAGATTACACGACATTTGAAAAATGGCAAAAAGGATGGAAAATTCAAAAGGTGGGTTCAGATGGAGAGTTGGTGTCCGAGTGGATCGAGGTCACGATAGCTCAAGTGGTAGAGCAGCGGCGTATCTAGCCTCGTGGGTTCGAATCCCGCTCGTGGCACTGACTTTTTTATCTCAACTAAAAACCTTAATTAATTGAAAGATATTAATTGGTCAAGCGGACCTCGAAATTAGTGAATATATTAAATAATATAGGTGAGAAATGTCCTCCTTGCGGAACACCAGATGTGACCACGATGGAATTGGATGGCGTATCATTAATGATAACGATACTGATGATCATAATGATAATGATGATAAAATTAATGATAAGATGCTATTATTTAATCAACTGCTTTTCCAATTCCTTAATTGGCCATGAACATTGCATTTAACTTTTGGAGTAAAATATTAGCCAAAAGCTTTTTGAGAAGTCTGCATGTACCACGTGCACTTGCTTGTGGTCTTCAAAAGCATATAGAACATCATATTAGAACGATATAACGATATATATAGTAAATTACTTAAAGTGGATTTATGTTTGGTGAAGCCATGTTGTTCATCGGATATGATATCATTGAAATGTGGTGTGAGTTTGTCACTTTTTTCGATATATAATCGTAAAAAATTTTCGATAAATGTAAACATTTACTTATTTGCCGATAGTTGATTACATTATTTTAAAATGATATAATTATTGATTGATATCCTCTTTGACGATCATTTTGGTCTGCCTATCCTTGCCATCTTGGTCTTTTTGCCGACCTGTTTCGGAACACACCACTCAGCTAGGAATTGTGAACTTTGAGACAAGCCTTAAACAAATATGGCTCATTACTTATTCAGTCAGGACTTATTACTTAATCAATTTCAGTAGGTTGTAGTAAATGTAACTACTGAAGAAAGAAATCACAGGTTTATTGGCCTTTGTTGTAACGGTCAATTGTTCAGATAAAATATTCTTCCTTATCAATCATTATTAAATCTAGATACAGACCTCATGAAAAAACCCTGTAGTTCGCCAGTTGCATCACTTAATAAAAGGAGACTTGTCACGTAATATGGGTAAAACACTTTCTAAGGTACTTTCTTGTCTGTAGGTGGGAAACAGTGAAAGAAGTAAAAGGAGAGACACGATACGAGGAAGACGAATCTTCTCACGAGAAGGTGAGACCACTTCCTTTCCTTATACAATACGGTTTTTCAATTTACACCAATTATTTATTTTCGATGCCGGTCATGTGTTGAAAGAGATCTGTCATTGTAAATCAAGGGCTGTTCCGCTCGTGAAATTGAGAACAAACACTCAGGAAACATTAAAAATTTTTATTAATTTTATTAATTAATCTGTTATACGTTAACAATGAAACATGAACTTGACAGATTTAATTTATGACGCTAATGATATTTCCAATTTTTAGGCAAAAGAAATGATAATCGGTGAGTCGTGAAGATTCCAATTCCTAAGGCCAAGGATATGACAAGACGGAAAACAGATATGAAGGCGATCTCTTAATTCGGTTCGTTACTTTCAATTCTAGAACGTCCTTGAACTTGCCATTGTAGGTTTAACTACACAAATAATTTGCATACAAATTAAATGAACAAAGTAATGTTTAATCACTAACAATTACACTGGTACATCGTAAACCTAACTGTCTGATAGATAATTTGTTTTCCAGTTCGAAATAAAATTGAATATTTGGTAGACATACAGGGTGACTGGCGATAAGTGTCGAAAATTTCAGGAATTTATACTCATCTTATCAAAAAGGCATCAAAAACTTCCTAAACCCCTGTCCAAATCTCAACGGTAAAGAAGTAATTTCAGGTTTTGGGTGTTTTTTTAATTTTTCGACTTAGATCCACTAAATTGCTTATAAACTTTAGAATTACTGACTGTAGAAAAATCTGGTTTACGCCACCTGAAAGAAAATTAAATTTGCTGTAAGGAAACCTATTTATATTACAGAATTGATGAAAAAATTCTGCACGAAAAATTCAGAAAAAACGACAATGTTGAAATTTGGAATTTTTTAAAAACGTTGGATTGGTTAGTTAATAACTACAAACTCCTGGAGCTTTGCAAATTCCCTGAAAAGTTCTCCATTCAATTAGCTTCCAGCGGTATACCCACCTTTTTGGATTGCGCTCCTGGAAGGCAATAAGATTTTGCATTTTGTGGGAAAAAATTGGTGTCGATGAAGGGGGATACGTTCAATTTTTTCAGAAAATCCGTCTGGCTTTTGAATTTCGTGTCAGTTCTTTAATGTTCAATTCAATCAGTTTGCTTTATGTTATCGGCTGACAGGTTGGTGATATAAATTATGTCATTGTTTCCTAATGCACATCTTGCATTTACATGCTGCTTCATTTACAGTTGCTGCAACGGTAATGCTACTGCTGCAAGGGGAGAATACCAAGCTCGTTTTCCACATTGAACGTTCCAGTAGATCACACCTTCCAATGGCTTCATCAGAGGCTGAGTGAAACTGGTTCTTTTACTCTTTACAAGGGTGCAAAGTTTGGAACGAAATGACCACCAGCAGTGAGTTGATTTTTTCCTCATCAACATCAATCACCCTCTTAAAATGGTTACGGTACAATCCTTCCCGACGGAAGGTATCTCCATAGTGAAACACCAAGGTATAGAATGCAAAAATTTCCTCATCTTCATAAATTCACTGATTCCCTCTTTCTTCGTTTTTTCAACAAAATACAAAATCTTTTTACCTTCCAGGAGCGCAATCCAAAAAGGTGAGTATACAGGGGTATATTTTTTCCTGAAAAAATTGAACGTATCCCCCCTTCATCGACACCAATTTTTTCCCACAAAATGCAAAATCTTATTGCCTTCCAGGAGCGCAATCCAAAAAGGTGGGTATACCGCTGGAAGCTAATTGAATGGAGAACTTTTCAGGGAATTTGCAAAGCTCCAGGAGTTTGTAGTTATTAACTAACTAATCCAACATTTTTAAAAATTTCCAAATTTCAGTATTTTTGTTTTTTCTGAATTTTTCGTGCAGAATTTTTTCATCAATGTAAATAGGTTTCCTTACAGCAAATTTGACTTTCCTTCAGGTAGCACAAACCAGATTTTTCTACAGTCAGTAATCTGAAGTTTATAAGCAATTTAGTGGACCTAAGTCGAAAAATTAAAAAACACCCAAATCCTGAAATTACTTCTTTACCGTTGAGATTTTGACAGGGGATTATAGGAAGTTTTTTTATGCATATGGTGAGTAGAAACACCTACTGAAATTTTCGACACTTATCGCCAGCCTCCTGTATAGGAGGTGAAATAGATGCTCTGTCTAGTGGACAAGTAGCGTTATAGAGTGGCGCTCCAGTACTCTCCCCTTTTCAAGAGAGGAATTTAGCCGGGTACTCCACGTCCGAGGTTGGTGGCTGCTGGAAATGCCGTCTTAAAAGGACTTGATGAGAGTGGTTGTCGGAAATGCTGGAGCAGTTCTTTCGATTTTTGCGAACTTGGATAAACAAATTCGGTCCTGCTGTTAGGGGAGGAGTCCGCATGAAGTTCGTGGCACCCCTTATACGACCCACAGAAATAGTAACCGTTCTTCCAAGGTGTAAGTTTTCTCCGACCTGGTTAAAATCTTGAAGAGTCCTTCGTAGGGTGGAGAGAAAGGTGGTCGATTCACAATTAATTTTGCTGGCTCGTGGTTTGAGTCGCGCTACACCATCTTTCGAGTAAAAGAACGGCGATTCGAAGAATAGGTCGGCTGTTAGTCAGCCGGCACGATCTTGTAATTACCGAGGTGGAAATCGGAAGCTCCCTTTCCTTTCGCTGTTGTCGGAGTCAAATTGGGAAAAGGAAAAAAATGTCGCAACTCCGTGAGTGAAACAGAACAACAACGTGATCTCTAAAGTCCCAGGCAGTTAGACACGCCAAAGTCGAAATTATTCGGCAAAACATAAAAATCAAAAAAGTCAACAATCCGACCTTTGTGACATTTGGGAAACGCTGGAAGGTCAACAAAGGTCCCATCGCTCACGATCAAACATCATTAATGTCGGCAAACTTCGGTATTGCTTCTTTCATGAACTGTACGATTCGAGTACAATTGCGTAACTAATTTATGAGAAAAAAAAATTCTGCTTGAAAACTCATATGTTTTGCAACAAGAAGGAATTTCACTTTTGAACGTTTTGTTTCCTCCCATGAGTTGGCACAAGTTCGTTTATCCTTGTAATGATCTCATCCGTAAAATGTTTCCGACAATCATAACAAATATCTATTCTTCCTTGATCATTATAAAATATTTGTAAAACTAAAAATGACCCTACATCATTCCAAAATTTGCACATCAGCAAACTAAAACACATCCAACCCATTCCTTTGCATGTCCCACTACAGCGATGGAAACAGTGCTCGACCTCCTTACATATTTACGCGTAAAAGGTGGCTTTCGAGAGTGCCAATAGACTCGTGAGATAGAAGGAACAACCAAATGTAAAAAGGAACCACCACAAAATTCTAGAGAGAATTTTGGCTATAACGGTACGTGACAAAATGAAAGAAAAACACAAATGGTCATAGATAATAAAGGCTTTTGGAAGATAGGTAGACCCAAGTTTGAGGAGGGGCCCTGTACGCAGATTGATCAAGCAAAACAATCTTAAATATGTTTACAACTTGACATAATTAGGTTTTTAATAGACAATTTCAATTTTTCCCCAAACATTTCCAAGGACTGAGTTCACAGTAGGTGAAAACTTGGCAGTGTCAATTGAATTTGCTTTATCGTCAAAACCATACGGTGATCCAGATAATTCCTGAGTAAAAACGTCGATCCATCTAAAACTTAAAACACAGATGGATGAAAGATGGAACAGGGAGTAACTTCTTGGACTATACCAACAATTCTACAAACTGAGGTCCATGCAATACGACTCTGTACACAATAAAAACCTGAAAGGTACGCAGATTTACATACCACAGTCAGGCAAGGAATATGATTTCAGCTCTAAACTTGTCTGGAGTGCCTAAATTGCCTAGTGACGAGAAAAACACAAGATCACTCTAAAGTTGGTTCCGGGACGTGAGGGTATAGAAGGAAATGAACAGCCTGACGAACAAACCATAGACGTGGCAGCCCTCTCTCTTCGAGAGAATAGAACCACAATTAGATACATAGGTGTGTGTGTGCTTGGAAATTGGAACCGAAAAAAATTACTTGAGAAAGAAAATCGCACTCAATGGACAAAAAGCACCAGGTACGAGACAAGCTAAGAGATTTACAAATCTCTCAAAAAGGAAGGTAAAATAACTCCGCTCTCTTTGAAGGAAGGATTTGAGGAAAATCATAGGCCTCTATCACCTAAAGAAGATGGACAAAGTAGACAGAAATATGCCGAATATGTTAGGAACGACCTTAGGACATCGGCACACATGCTTTGGGAATGTGAAGCATTAGTCCTGTTACGGTACAGCCCCTTCGGAGACAATTTTCACACCAAAAAACTGCGCGAAGAGGCACCGAGGAAAGCCTTATCGGAAAAAGAGCACTTTTCAAGTAGATTGCAGTGGAGGAAAGGATTTCTAAAATTCTTTTCCAACCCCCCCGCAAAAAAACATACATTTCTATTGATATTTTTTCCTCTGTGAATCACCAACAAAGAGATACCGACCAACTTAGCAGAAAATACCATAAGTAGTTTCTGCCAAGAAAAGGGAGAAAGCAGACATTTTATATAATTAATCTTTTTATGTAAGGTGTCGAAATGAAAAAGTTAGTGTCGCGGGCGGGATTCGAACCCACGACCTTCGGCTCAATACACCACTATTCTAACCACTTGAGCTGTTGTGACTCATCCGATGAAGTCACGATAGCTCAAGTGGTTAGAGCAGCGGCGTATTGAGCAGAAGGTCGTGGGTTCGAATTCCGCCCGTGACACTAACTTTTTCATTTCAACCAAAACCTTATTAAAAGATTAATTAATCGAAGGAAGTAATTTGGGTCCATAGACTACTAAATATAATGTATTTTATGTCAATCTTATTAGGAACATTTATATTTACTAACAAAGAGAAGCTATTGGTCAATTCAGCAAACATTCTATTATCAAAACTATGGAGACTAATAAAAAGCCTGAAGCTAGAAAATCATCCATAATTTGATGAAGTGGTGGGAAATACTATATCAACTTCATAAACAAATCAACGATCTATCGACATCAACTCAAATTAGATAATTAGTACAGTCAGCAGACTTGGAATGCTGGGGTGGAATTCTCAAACAAGACTTAGCAGAAGATTTGGACAGTTACGAAAACTATTAGGACCAAAATATGATAAATCTGAAAAGACTGTACAAAACCTTGCTTCGATTACCTCGACACTCGGAATGGATCTGTGGGGCTTTCTAACAAACTGTTCAGTATATAATCCTACCAATCAAAGGTCAGGTCATTAGTGTCATAACACTAACCCCGCTATCCACATTGACCTGAATATCCTTTCCGTCAACGAATTGAACCGCCCTCAGATCTTAACGTA